ATAAGAACATAAGTGTATACTGGGCTGAATTTATCAATATGGGTGCACTTAGCAAGGATTTGGATTCCATGCACCAGCTCAAGCTGTCGGGGGTTGTTCCATACATCTATTTGGTTGGCTGAATAAAAACTGGATCCCACTCAATGCAGTTAAGGTGCCAAAAGCTCCCTGGTATAACACAGAGGAAAGAATCCAAAGCCTTAAGAAGATGTATTCAGGCCAGGCGCGGTGGCTCAAGTCTGTAATCCCAGCACTTTGAGAGGCCGAGACGGGCGGATCACGAGGTCAGGAGATCGAGACCATCCTGGCTAATACGGTGAAACCCCGTCTCTACTAAAAAATACAAAAAACTAGCCGGGCGAGGTGGTGGACACCTGTAGTCCCAGCTACTCGGGAGGCTGAGGCAGGAGAATGGCATAAACCCGGGAGGCGGAGCTTGCAGTGAGCTGAGATCCAGCCACTGCACTCCAGCCTGGGCGACAGAGCGAGACTCCGTCTCAAAAAAAAAAAGAAAAAAAAAAAAAAAGAAGATGTATTTATTTTTATTTATTCAAAATAAATGTTGAGGCTGGGCGCGGTGGCCCACACCTGTAATCCCAGCATTTTGGGAGGCCAAGGCAGGCGGATCACCTGAGGTCAGGAGTTCAAGATCAGATTGGCCAACATGGTGAAACCCCACCCCTACAAAAATACAAAAAGTAGCTGGACATGATGGCAGGTGCCTGTAATCCCAGCTACTCAGGGGAGCAAGACTCCATCTCAAAAAATAAATACATACAGGCCGGGTGCAGTGGCTCATGCCTGTAATCCCAACACTTTGGGAGGCTGAAGCGGGTGGATCACCTGAGGTCAGGAGTTCGAGACCAGCCTGACCAATATGATGAAACCCCGTCTCTACTAAAAATACAAAAATTAGCCAGGCATGGTGGCACCCGCCTGTAATCCCAGCTACTCAGAAGCCTGAGAGAGGAGAATAGCTTGAATCCAGGAGGCGGAGGTTGTGGTGAGCCGAGGGGAAACAAGAGTGAAACTCCGTCTCAAAAAATAATAATAATAATAAATACATACATAAATATATAAATGAATAAATATTGGACTGAATTTATCATGGACAACTCATCTTTTCCCTAACCAATCCCCTGGATTGAAGGGATTGGATTGAAGATTCAGAAGATATTCCTTTCTCAGCAATGAAAAGGGAAATTCATTGCTGAGGGGTGCGTCTTTGAAAAGCTTTAGTTTTAGTTTGCTATGGCTACCATGACAAAGTCCCACAAATTGAGTGTCTAAAACAACAGAAAATGTATTGTCTCACAGTTCTAGGGGCTAGAAGTCAGATCAGGGTGTTCGCAGGGCCATGTTCTCTCCGAAGACACTAGGTTATATTAGATTAGGGGCCATCCTACCGCAGTCTAACTTGGTCTTAACTTATTACATCTGCAATGACCTTATTTCCACATAAGGTCACATTCTGAAATACTAGGGGTTAGAACTTCAACATATAAATTGGTGGGGGGTGCATAATAAGCACCATAGTCACTCTTCTCCATAGGTTAGGGATTCTAGTGGGAGACACTAGAGTTGAAATGGCTCCTTGATTGCTTTTTTTTTTTTTGAGACGGAGTCTCGCTCTGTCGCCCAGGCTGCAGTGTGGCGCAATCTTGGCTCACTGCAACCCCCAGCTTCCGGGTTCAAGCAATTCTCCTGCTTCAGCCTCCACTAGTAGCTGGGATTATAGGCATGTGCCACCAGGCCCAGCTAATTTTTTTGTATTTTTAGTAGAGACAGGGTTTCACCATGTTGGCCAGGCTGGTCTCAAACTCCTGACCTCAAATGATCCACCCACCTCGGCCTCCCGAAGTGCTGGGATTACAGGCGTGAGCCACCGCACCAAGCCGGCTCCTTGATTTCAATGCAGATACGAGGAGTCTGGGGTGTCAAGGGTCAAGCAGCAGTGTTGAGCTGCCAGAGGAGAGAGAGGAGCCGAGACTGGGAATGCAGGATTTACAGGTTATCGGAAAGGTCAGACCTGGAGGGATCTTTAGCAACCTGCAGGAATCTTTAGCAATAGGGGCCTGATCACCAGACCCCTAGCACCAAAATAGAGGGAGAGGCCAGAAAAGTCCCACTTATATAACAAGAGAGGGTGAAGTCCAACTGACAGAGACTCGTCTGCAACAGAGAGGAGACCCTCACCAATTTTCTAGATAAAAGTCAGTTTACAAACCCAGGGGCCCCTGAAGGAGGTGGGGCATGCACTCTTAAGGAGGGCCCTATAAAAACAGCACAGATTCATCCTGGCATTTTCCTCACAATCTCCCCAAAGAGACCTGTGGCCACAAGCCAGGTGTGGCAGATACTACTTGTGGTCTACGACAAAGCCATTTTTCACTTTTCTGGTTTTTGAGACAGAATCTCGCTCTGTCACTCACACTGGAGTGCAGTGGCACACTCATAGCTCACTGCAGCCTCAACTTACTGGGCTCAAGCAGTCCTCCCATCTCAGACTCCCGAGTAGCTGGGATTACAGGCACGAACCACCATGCCCAGCTAAGTTTTTGATTTTGTGTAGAGACAAGGTCTCATTACGCTGCCCAGGCTAATCTCAAATGATTACAGCTATGGGCCACTACACCCCACCTCATTTTTCACTTTTAATAAAATAGTTTTACCGACACAGTGGTGCGTGCTTGTAATCCCAGCTACTCAGGAGGCTGAGGCAACAGGATCACTTGAAGCCATGAGTTTATAACCAGCCAGGGCTACAGAGCAAAATCCTGTTTTTATTTTTGCTTTTGAGAGAGGGTCTTATTTTGTCGCCCAGGTTGCAGTGGCGTGACCCTGGCTCACTGCAACCTCTAACTTCTGGGCTTAAGCAATTCTCTCGTCTCAGCCTCCCAAGTAGCTAGGACTGTAGATATGTGCCACCACACTTAGTCATTCGAAAATTTTTTTGTAGAGATAGGATCTCATTATGTTCCCCAGGCTGGTCTCAAACTTCTGGGCTCACTCAACTCTCCCACCTCGGCCTCTTAAAGCACTGGGATTACAGGTGTGAACTATTGTGTTCGGTGCAAGACCCTGTTTTTACAAAAATAAAATAAAATAGTTTTGTTTAAACAATAGCATACCCAGAAATGATCAGTCTAAATCAAATATGGCAACACTCTTCTCTGCAAGTAAAAAATATTATCTATATTTATAGATATAAATCCAATATTGCTGAAACGTACCTATGTCTTTGCAACAATATTTGATTCTATCCAAATATTATCTGATCCTTTCAAGTTCATTCCTGTTGGTGTAAGAAAAAATGAAAACAGTCAGGCACAGTGGCTCATACCTGTAATCACAGCATTTTGGGAGGCCGAGACAGGCAGATCACCTGAGGTTGGGAGTTCGAGTCAAGCCTGACCAACATGGAGAATCCCCGTCTCTACTAAAAATACAAAATTAGCCAGGCGTGGTGGCGCACACCTGTAATCCCAGCTACTTGGGAGGCTGAGGCAGGAGAATTGCTTGAACCCGGGATGGGGAGGTTGCAGTGAGCGGAGATGACGCCATTGCACTCCAGCCTCGGCAACAAGAGTGAAACTCTGTCTCAAAAAAAATAAAATAAAATACAAAACAAATATCCTGTGACCTTATATGATGGCTATTATTTCCCGGTAACCCAAAATGCTACTCAACACAATAATATAATTGCCCTTTCTAGGTTATAGTACAACACTGGACCTGAAGAAAAACTCCGATATTGTTATATTTCATTCCTTTTGTTGTTTTCTACTAATATCTTCAAAACCTTCTTCCAAAAGTGCTGAGAAGCCTCAAAGAGAGTCAGGTGTCCACCCTAGGAACTCAGTGCCAAGACACAGGTGAGGACCCCGAAGCTGTCCTCCAAGCTCTCATCAGGTGGAGCTTAGTCACCACCTGAATCCTGCAAAGCTGCCTCTCCCTCAGACCCCTTGGCATAGTTGGAGAAGGCAGAAACATAGCTGCTGGCCACCCAAACCACCCAGAAGCAGGCCAGCCACAGCCATCCTCTGCCCTGACACACTGGGAGGAGCACAGGTGGGCACCTGGCGATGCCCTGCCCCATCTTGTCCACAGAGGAGCCCCCTAACAACCCACTTCCCGGAAAGCCAGCTGCAGGGCAGGAAGTATGGACAGCCCCATGACGTTCTGAGGTATGGGAAAAAGAACACCCTGCCCCTTGTCTCCACCTTCCCCACCCCAGACGCAGATGACAAAGAAAATACCAGAACAGGCTGGGCACAGTGGTTCACGCCTGTAATCCCAGCACTTTGGGAGGCGGAGGCGGGTGGATCACCTGAGGTCAGGAGTTCGAGACAAGCCTGACCAACATGGAAAAACCCTGTCTCCACTAAAAATGTAAAAATTAGCTGGGTGTGATGGCGCATGCCTGTAATCCCAGCTGCTCAGGGAGGCCGAGGCAGGAGAATCGCTTGAACCCGGGGCGGAGGTTGCAGTGAGGCGAGATTGTGCCATTGTACTCCAGCCTGGGCAACAAGAGAGAAACTCCGTCTCCAAAAATAAAAATAAAAAAAAAAAAGAAGAAAATACCAAAACAGTGGTCAGCATGCCCTCACCCACAGCCTCATGTAGCCACTACATCCTCGACCCAGCCCCCAGGGACCCTTCCCCAAGAATGCCGCATTTGGAGCCCACATTCCTAGGGACCTCAGAATCCTTCCCTTAACAGTGCTCCACTCCAGCTTCACCGCCCCCTCCACATTTGCCTCTTGTTCAGGGACAACGGCCCCATACCCCAGGTCAGCCCAGGGAAGACTCAGGCCCCTGCCCACGTGTGCCAGGCCAGGGCTCACTCCAGGGCAGCACCATTCCTCTTCAGTGAGAGTGAACATGGGGGTGGAAGCTGAACCAAGGATCCCAACACAGACCTTCGAGGAAGACCACAGCACCAGGCATCGACAAAGCAGGCCAGAAAAAAAAACACTTCACAAATGGAGAACTGGCTATCAAATACAACCTGAGATTATATTTTAAAAAGTATTTATTGCAAAGAATGCTGGACACAGTGTTGCATGTGGCTGAGATTCGATACCATCCATTCTGGGGAACTCGGGAAAATACCTGCAACATGGGCACACCAGCCCACATGGCCGAAATGTGGCAGCCAATCAGCCATGCCACAGCCCATGTGGAGACCATGCCAGGGCAGAGGCCGGGGGGCTGCCCCCACTCATGCCCTGATCCCTGGATGTCCCTCTGCCGTGTCCCCAGTCCTTGTAATGCATCCAGTCCAGCAGCTCCTAACTCCCCTCTGTACACAGAGAGAAAAGGCCTCGGTGGTCTCACCTCAGGTGACATCCAGAGGTACATGCACTGTTGCTGACCAAGGGGACCCACTATGGCTAACAATTGAGTGTGTCCAGGTGACAAAAGTCACCGAAACTCCAAAAGACACAGAAGCAAAGGCTGCAGTCCCCATGCCCCAAAGGGAGTGGCATGGTCCTTGGGCTGTGGGTCTAAAGGGTTTGGGGCTCTGACAGATGAGTGTGGAAGGAGGATCCTGCCCCTGCTCCGCCTTGGACATCTCTTAGGAGAGCAGCACACAAGGATGAGAGACCACCAGCCAGGGCCAGGGATGCTAACTTCTCTCAGGGGCAGGTGGCATCTGCAGGCTGCAAAGCCCTGGGAGGCTGGAAAGATGTGCTATGTTCCAGGCACAGGCCAGGTAAGGCTCCAGACACAAAGGACTTGGGATCCAGGGGCCTGGCTTCCCCAGAGTCCACCTGTGGACAGCAGGGCACCCGATTACCAGTCCAGACACTTTCTGACCCAGCACCACAACTTGCCAGCCAGTGTTTGCCAGCTGTAAACAGACTGCCCAGGCTGCCTCTCTGGGACCACAAGAACTCAGGGGCATGACAGACACTGGACTACACAAGGCCATTTTCACCAGACTCACATGCACATGAATGGAAAGCTGTGCTGCAGCTGGGAAAATCCTCCCTTGCCCAGGGACTGCCTATGGGTCTGCCTTCTCCCTTCCTCAGGCCCACAGGCAGAAGTCAAAAAACACCAGAAAAGTTTTACAGGACCATACAAGTGTTTCTGAATCATTTATGGCAAATGCATGTCTCTGCCACCAGTGTACATTCCTGTGTGGACACAGGCAGCAACAGGTGAGAGGCCACCTCCCCATCGGCTGCCAGTGTTCACAGCCAGGGAAGGGGAGAGGGGGCGGCAGCCTCTCCCTCGAGCACTTCGGTGTGTGCACCAGGAAGGGAACTCGTATGCCTACCCTGTCTTGAGGTGGTTTTACTGTGAGAGCAGGCCTGAAGGGGCATCCCTGGCCACCAGCTCCCCTAAGCATACCTAAGTAGCCGGGTACATGCACAACAGGGGAGGGGCGACCACAACTGCCCCCCTGCCTGCACATTTCTGTGCATTGCAATGTGCCGAAGCAAGCGCATTGCTTCCATGAATGCCTGCAAATAAGGGTGACATGGATACAAGGGCCTGGCCAGTGGCTGCCTGGGAAGCATCTGCTGTGGTTGGGGCTCTAGTTCCTGGTGGGTAAGGATGGGAAGGGCTCTCCCTCTTACCAGAGGCAGCAGAAGCTCAGGGCCCCATGAACACCTGGCCTCTGGCTCAGGCAGTGGCCACAGAGAGGATGGTAGAGGCCCTGCGGAGAGTCACCAGGTCCACGCTGGGCAGCTGGGCCACAGTAGGAACATCACAGCAAGCACTTTCCTTTCACATTGTAGGGTTTCACACTTCACAAAGCCAACTGAGCTGGCGAGAGTGAACACCTAAGAGCTGCGCCGGAAGAACCTGGGGCTGGGCAACCTCCGCACAGCCCATGCAGATGCAGTCTGGTCAAGTGACTCTTAGCAGCAGGTCAGGAGCCATGCACAACCTTGTTGCCGACTGTCAACAAAGAGCCAGGTGCGCTGGGGCGGGGGTTCTGGGTTCCGCCAGCCATATGTGGCTTCAAGAATATCCCTGCATGGCACGGTGACTGTCACACACACTGGAGGGCCTGGAATGACCCCCTCTGCAGAGACCAGTGCCTGCCTAGTGGTCACAGTGGATGAACGTGGTCACTGGTGAGCAGGCACCGTGACAAGGGCTTCCTCTGGAGGTCTTGAGATGTCCACGTTCTGTACAATAAAAACACAGAGCGTTCACTCCATAGCAGGAATAGATGAGAGGCCTGCTGTCTACCTTCCTTATCACTGTGGCTCGTCAGGCTTCACATTCTCACTGTAGCAGCCTTGGCCGCAAGACTCTAGAACGCAAGCTTCCCTGAGAATGCATGGCCAAGAGCTTCGTGCCACACAGTGGGTGGACAGACAATAGAACAAAGGTGCGGTGGAGGATGCCACCACGTTTTCTGCTCCACTGCAGCCAGGTCAGGAAATACCCAAAGCAAGGCTGCTACCTCCTCCTATCTTAGGGCTGGGTCAATTGAGGAGGAATGCCTGGCTTGGGGATTTTATCCTCATTTTTGGGGCAGGGATGGGGTTCAGCTCCTGGGGGTGCCTCCATCCTGGTTTAAAGGGTGGGCACACAGGTGTCAGAGGTGCCCCAGAAGCCTAAGGGCATTTCCTGGTCTGCAGCCTGGTCTGTCCCCTCAGAACTGGGGCACAGGGCCTCCTGAAGCCCTCAGCTATAGACAGCCCCCACCAACTTGCAGAGCTCAGTCCCATCCTTGGCCTGTCGGGCTCAGGGTGTCTCAGGCCTGAGGAACAGGGAATCTGAAACTTCCCTTAGATCTCTGAGGCTGTCTTATGTTCCCCCGAGCCTGGTGGCCCTCCTCCCAGCTGTGGGCCCTGGAACCATCACCTGCAGGAGCAGGTCACTGATGACCTGAGCTGCTGCCTTATGCAACATGACATGCCCAGATCTGCAGGGAGACATGGCCCCCATGGCCCATAGCCTGGGCTCATAGGACCGGCCCCTGGAATTGTAGGGGCAGGTATAATTCTTATTGCTGGGCAGGCTTCCTGAGGCACCCCTTTTCCACCACAGCCTGCCCCAACGGATGGGCTGGAAGGGAGCCATCAAGGAACCTGGGGTTAGTAGCAGTTTGCCTCTGAGAAGCACCCACCCATAGTGGGCCGAGTGACCGTCAGTCACACTATGGTGATGGACTGGCAGGGTCAGCTCCCAAGGGCTGCCAGGCCCAGGGGTCTCTCTTACCATCACTCTGTCAGCACTGGGGGCCCAGTGCCATCTGGGCCTTCCTTGGCCCAAAGGATGCCAGTTGGGAGGTGCCTTCCCCTGTGACTTGTGGGTACTAAATTGGGCCTGGGCTGAACTTGGCCAAGACATGCACGGACTCTCAGAGCAATGGGAAGAGAGGCCTGCAGGGTAACTGGTCCTGCTTGGGGGCAGTGGTGTTGGGAAGGGACAGGACACATCTACACAGCTATGCTATGAGGTCCAAGGCCAGATGTCCTGGTCCAGTTCAAGGCCTGCACCCTCAGCAGGGACCCAGAGCCGAAGCAGGCCCCATCATGGATGGCAATAGGCATCACTGAGGCCCAGGAGCCTTCTCCGTGCAATGGACTCCAGGAACTGGGACCAGGGCTCCCAGAAGTGTAGGTCCGACCCTTGGCCCCAATGGGAGAGGGAGCCACCATTGTAGAGGGACCCCACATGGGACCGAGTGGTTCTGAGCTACACTCTGAGGAGCTTCTACTTTCCACAAGGCACTTGGGGAGCACAGGTGGTGACTGCTCTTCTGGACCAAGGTCTCCACCCCATGCGGAGGCCCCTTCAGCATCTGCATGGCCCTTTCCCCAAAAGCGCATGATCCCATTTTAATTTTTAAAGGTACTGTGGTTAGAAAAGGGGCTCATGAGGCCTCGGCTGCAGGGATGGGGAGTGGGAAGAGTAAGCCTCATTCTTAGCCTCCAGCCTCTTTCTCACTGAGCCCAAGGGCCCCCTTGACTTAGACCTCCAAGGAGCTGCTGGGGAGCCCTGTGGCTCCTCAGGTCCTGGGGGTCCAACCACACCCAAGCTCAGGCACTCCTGAGCCTGGTGGCTCAGCATCAGGGATTTCCCCATCGCCAGGGCAGGTGCCTTGGGAAGGGCTGATGCAGGCCCCACCCTGCTGATAGGACAACAGTCTTGGCAGAAGATTCAAGCTCCCTCTGGCAGGTGCCCCAGCTGGGCCTGGCCCTGGAGGATGTGCAGTCTGGACACCCCCACATCAGGAACACCCCACTACCCCAGCAGTGACCCCATTGCTACCTGAGGCCTGTCCCGGTGCGTGTTCACAGCGGCCACATTCAGGAATATGGACTCCACTTTACAACCTGCCAAAGGGAAGATGCAAATCCATCCCCACTCCTGAAAGGCAGCTGAGCCGCAGAAGCTAGAAACTTCTCTTGGAGCGGGGTTTGGGTGTGTGGAATGGAGCAGCCATCTCAGCCTCACTCTAGTTCTTCCACTTTAGGCAGCTCTGGGGAGCCCCGGGAGGAAGGACGAGACACCCTGCCAGACCCATACTTATCCATATATGGCGGCCCAGACAGGGCCACACAGAGGCCCCAGGCTCCCCAACCCCAGGGCCGAGAGGGATCGGGGGAGCAGCAGGCCTAAGGTGAGGTCACTGGCTCTCAAAGTCTTCAGGGCCCCCAAACCACCCACATCCCAACTCTACCATGCAAGTCCCAGTCAACCACGTGCCAGGTGCACAGTGCAATGGGTGATGAGGCCATTATCACACAGTGGAGTGACATCAGCTGCCACTGGGCTTCACAGCCATTCCCCCAAGAGCACCTGTGTTAAAGGTGAGGAGCTAAGACCTGAGAGATGAAGTTGCCTGAGGTCTCTGCTGGTATAGCAAGAGGCAGGGGTGGGACTCACACTGCCCTGCACCCAGAATAAAGTCCAGGCCCTGGGGACCATGGGGCCTTGTGGGGGTTTGGAAAAATCAGTAGAAAAGCCCCTCATGCAGGTAGGCAATGGGTAAGCAAAGTCACTGGGGAGGCCTTCTGTGTGGCCACATAAACTTTTTCACGACAAAGTTTTTTTTTTTTTGAGATGGAGCCTCACTCTGTCGACCAGGCTGGAGTGTAGTGGCGCGATATAGGCTCACTGCAAGCTCCGCCTCCCAGGTTCACGCCATTCTCCTGTCTCAGCCTCCTGAGTAGCTGTGACTACAGGCACCCGCCACCATGCCCGGCTAATTTTTTTGTATTTTTAGTAGAGACGGGGTTTTACCATGTTAGCCAGGATGGTCTCGATCTCCTGACCTTGTGATCCGCCCGCCTCGGCCTCCCAAAATGCTGGGATTACAGGCGTGAGCCACTGCGCCCGGCCCCACAACAAACTTTTTAAAGGCAAATTAGGGCTGGGGATGGTAGCTCATGACGGTAGCTCATGCCTGTAATCCCAGCACTTTGGGAGGCCAAGGTAGGTAGATTACCTAAGGTCAGGAGTTCGAGACCAGCCTGACAACATGGTGAAACCCTGTCTCTATTAAAAATACAAAAATTAGCTGGGTATGGCGGCAGGAGCCTGTAATCCCAGCTACTCGGGAGGCTGAGGCAAGAGAATCACTTGAACCCAGGAGGTGGAGGTTGCAGTGAGCCGAGATCACGCCATTGCACTGCAGCCTGGGTGACAGAGCAAGACTCCGTCTGAAAGAAGAAAAACATATTGGGAAAGGTAGTGGGGTAGTGGGTGAAGGAATGGGTTCCTAACACAATTTTCCAGGAATTTGGAGAAAATCATGGAACTGTGCAGAGATCCAAGGTCATGGCTACCCATGGTCAATGTTCAGGAAGCTTCCTTACCGTATGCCACAGGGGTCAGCTTCAGGACTGTGTGCAGTGGACACTTGAGGTAGGGCAGCTGTTCTGTAGACACAGAGGGGGATGGCTAGCACACCAGAAATGCCTGGTGACAGTGCCTACCTTCTCACACAACCCTCCCACCTCCCCCAGCGCATGGCCCGCACCTGCTGCCTTGTCGAGGAAGTAGGCCAGCAGGCAGCGCATCACAGCCTGGTGGCAGATGACCAGCACATTCTCTTGCCTCTCCAGCTCCATGATGACAGGCTCCAGTCTCTGGACCAGGTCCTCGTAGGACTGCAAGGGCAAGCAGAGAGGTGTCCCTCAGGCCCAGCTCCGGGGGAGGGACAGACACATCCCGGACACTGGGCCACCTACCACTCCTGCAGCTGCTCACCATTCTGGGAAGCTGTGACTGGGCCTCCTCCAGCCTAGCCTTCTGAGGGCATGGGGGTGGGCAGCTAAGGAAAGGGGCCACCTTTCCCATCTCAGGGCCAGGTTCTGGTAGGATTGAGAGTGCAGAGCTAGGCCTCAGGCTCCATCCCAGGGTCCACCTCAGTGCTCACCCATGGAGCTCTGCACTGAATCCTCAGCTATGGAATTAATGTGACTGGAGAAGACTCTGCCTGCTTCCAGCCCACAGCAAAGAGAGTGTACCAACAAAGGTGCAGGGGAAGAGAGCAAAGACCAGGAACTTTCTGGAGTATGGCTCATCAGAAACAGTTGGGGTCCCCAGGAACTATCCTCAGTCTACCTGCCCAGTATCTTCCCCCTATGCCTGCCACGATGTACGGTTTGGGCCCCTGCTGGGCCTCTCGACCTCGCAGGTTTAGATTTTCATCAGTTTCATCCTTCTGCACACAATGAGTGGTCCTTCAAAAATGGCCTCCAGCAGTCGGAATTGAATGTACCCCGAGCTTTGATTAGGAAGCAAGAATGACACACTGATTTGTGCCAGCTCCTGGTAGTTCTGAGAAAATCCTAGATCAGTTCTTTTGGTAACATGAATTTCTCAACCAATTCTCCTCCCTGTATTCTCAAGTTTGAGCAGCCAGCTGCTTTGTTTCTCCTGACCGTTATCTGGGTTAGTTCTAAATCTGAACTTGGCCTCACAACATGATGTGGGGAATAATTAATGTTTCCAAGAGCTATACTATCCTGAGGATGGTATAGTATAGGGGCCTGTGAGCCTAGTTTCTGGGTGGAGGTGCTTCTACATGTGTACATATACGTGTACATATGTGTGTTGATGGGGGGTAGTTCTGAGAAAATCCTAGATCAGTTCTTTTGGTAACATGAATTTCTCAACCAATTCTCCTCCCTGTATTCTCAAGTTTGAGCAGCCAGCTGCTTTGTTTCTCCTGACCGTTATCTGGGTTAGTTCTAAATCTGAACTTGGCCTCACAACATGATGTGGGGAATAATTAATGTTTCCAAGAGCTATACTATCCTGAGGATGGTACAGTATAGGGGCCTGTGAGCCTAGTTTCTGGGTGGAGGTGCTTCTACATGTGTACATATACGTGTACATATGTGTGTTGATGGGGGGTATTTTTATTTGGCCCCTGCCCCAGGCCACCTCCTGGAATTGGAAGGAAATGCCTCAGTCAAGGTGACCCTCAGTTTCTGACCTGGGGCTGGGGCTGACCTCTGTCAGAGAAGGTGACAAGTGCAGTGGCTTGTGGTAGCCAACTCATGTGTGGAAGGTCTCCCCGGGTCTGGTGCCAGGGCTGGGGGTGGTGCCTGGAGCCACAGGGAGGATGGGCTCAGCCTGTGACAAAAGGAAGCATCCAAAGGAAGGGTGAGGCCCGAGACAGGGACGCGAATGAGCTGAGACCCAAGTCCCAGGTCTGCCATGGTCTCCCCAACTCCCCAGCCATTTGAGCACCCTGGAAAGGGCCGACAACTCCCTAGGAAAGGAGCTGGCCTGGGAATTCCAGGGGACAGCTCACTGTCTATAGGGGTCCCAGGAAAGCCTAACCCCACAGACCCCCCACCTCAGGCCCTGCCCTTCCGAATTCTCCACCCCTGGGAAGGGGAAAGACAAGAATGGAGAGCAGGGAGCCAAAGGTCTCCGGGTTGAAGGTCTGCCCTACACGGTACTGCCCACCCCACACCTGAGGAAGGGACTAAGGCCTGGGCCGCACAGCTGGGAAGGGGTGGAAATGAACCACACACCCAGGCTGGCCTGCCTCTGAGACCAGGCCCCTTCTGCTACCCCCGCAGCCCCTGTAGAGCCCCACAGGCCCTCAGCCACAGGTGGTACTCCCAGGCGGGCGGTAGGTGGCTGGGACTAAGCCCCAAATCCCACGTACCTCCCCTTTAGGGTACCGGTACCGGTACTTGTCCTGGTCCCGCAGGGCGAACTCCAGTGGATAATTATCCTGAATTTCCTCATAGGTCATTTCCTCACAGACGCCCTAGGGAGATACCACAGTCATCACACCTCCTACAATGCCTAGAAGACAAGCCTTGGGGGTGTTTGGGGTGAGGCAGCATCAAGCAGAGGACACCAAATTCATGGGCATTTCCTGGGCAAAGGGAACAGAAACCTGTCCAGGGAAGGGAGGCCCTCTAGGAACACTGATCATTGGTGGTTCCTTGTTTGTAAAAAGCTACCAGGACAGCCTTGTCCACCTATCCATCACCCATCCAATACATAAAGAGATGCTATGTGTTTTTTCTTTTCTGTGCTGTGAAAATACTTCTCGTGAGTATAGGTTGTTATGCAAACTATGAAGGAAAACTTCACTTGTGTTATTTGGGATACACACACACACACATACACACACACACAGCATAGATCATCTTCTACAAATGCCATTAAAAAAAAAAAAACAAAAAAAAGCTGACCGGGCATGATGGCTCATGCCTGTAATCCCAGCACTTTGGGAGGCTGAGGAGGTCAGGAGTTCAAGATCAGCCTGGCCAACATGGTGGAGGAGGCAGTGGTTGCAGTGAGTTGAGATTGGGCCACTGCACTCCAGCCTGGGCAACAGAGAGACTCCCTCTCAAAAAAAAAAAAAAGAAAAGTTGGTTGGGCATGTAATCCCAGCACTTTGGGAGGCCGAAGCAGGTGGATCACCTGAGATCAGGAGTTCAAGGCCAGCATGGTCAACATGATGAATCCCCATCTCTACTAAAAATACAAAAACTAGTCAGGTGTGGTGGCGCACGCCTATAGGCAGGAGAATCACACGTACCCAGGAGGTGGAGATTGCAGTGAGCCGAGATCGCACCACTGCACTCCAGCCTGGGGTAGAGAGTGAGACTCTGTCTCAAAAAAAAAAAAAAAGATGGGGACATATTGTATTAGAGTGGGTCCTAAATTCAATCATTGGTGTCCTTTTAAGAACGCCATGTAGGCCAGGTGCGGTGGCTCATGCCTGCAACCCCAGCACTCTGGGAGGCTGAGGCGGGTGGATCATAAGGTCAGGAGTCTGAGACCAGCCTGGCCAATATAATGAAACCCCGTCTCCACTAAAAAAATACAAAAATTAGCTGGGTGTGGTGGCACACATCTATAGTCCCAGCTAGTTGGGAGGCTGAGGCAGAAGAATCTCTTGAACCTGGGAGGCAGAGGTTGCAGTGAGCTGAGATCGTGCCACTGCACTCCAGCCTGGGCAACAGAGTGAGACTCCGTCTCAAAAAAAAAAAAAAAAAAAAAAAAAAAAAGAATGCCATGTGAAGGCACGGACAGACACACATAGGGAAGAAAGCCATGTGACGACAGCCAGCGGACAGAGGTGGGATTGGAATGATGAGGCTATGAGCCAAGAAATACCAAGGATTGCTGACAACAACTGGAAACTAGGAAGAGGTGAGGAAGGTTCTTTATTAGCACCTTCAGAGGGAGCACAGCCCTGCTGAGGCCTTCATTTCAGACTTCCAGCCTCCAGAATTGTGAGAGAATCAATTCATGTCATTTTAAGCCACTCATCTGTAGTGCTTTGTTACAGCAGCCCTAGTAAACTAATACATACTTTTTTTTATATTTAGTGGTTCTTTTGTTTTGTTTCATTTTGTTTTTTGAGACAGTCTTACTCTGTCACCCAGACTGGAGTCCAGTGGTGTGATCTTGGCTCACTGCAGCCTCAAACTTCCCAGGCTCAGGTGATCCTCTCACCTCAGCCTCCCAAGTAGCTGGGACTACAGGCGTGCACCACCACACTTGAATACTAACACGTATTTTGGTACCAGGAAGTGAAGTGCTGCTGGCTGCTGTAATAAAGAACTAAAAATGTGGAAGTGGTTATGAAATTGGATAGTGGGTAGAGGCTGGAAGAATTTTGTGGTGCATGATAAAAAGCTTAGACTGTCTTAAAGAGACTGTTAGTAGAAATTTAGACATGAAAGATTATTCTGGTGAAGGCACAGAAGGAAGTGAAGAGGAAGACAGAGAAAGCTTCCATCTTATTTTTTTTTTTTGAGACAGGGTCTCGCTCTGTTGCCCAGGTTGGAGTGCAGTGGTGCAATCTCAGCTCACTGCAACCTCCGCCTCCTGGGTTCAAACAATTCTCCTGCCTCAGCCTCCTGAGTGCTGGGATTACAGGCAGAGGCCACCATGGCTGGCTAATTTTTTGTATTTTTAGAAGAGACGGGGTTTTGTCATGTTGACCAGGCTGGTCTCGAACTCCTGGCCTCAAGTGATCTGCCCGCCTCAGCCTCCCAAAGTGCTGGAATTGCAGGCATGAGCCACTGCGCCTGGCCTATGCTCTTTATTCTAAAGAAAATGATACAAAAATGTTAAAAATAAAAGGGAAAAAAATAAAATAAAAAAATATGGACAGGTTGGGCATGGTGGTTCATGCCTGTAATCTCAGCACTTTGGGAGGCCAAGGAAGGAGGATCGCTTGAGCCCAGGAGTTCAAGACCACCCTGGGCAACATAGCAAGACCACATCTCTAAAAATTTTTTAAATTTAGGACAGGTGCAGTGGCTCACGCCTGTAATACTAGCAATTTGAGAGGCCAAGGTGGGATCACCTGAGGTCAGGAGTTTGAGACCAGCCTGACCAACATGGAGAAACCTCATCTCTGCTAAAAATACAAAATTAGCCAGGCTTGGTGGCTCATTCCTGTAATCCCAGCTACTCAGGAGGCTGAGGCAGGAGAATCACTTGAAACTGGGAGGCAGAAATTTTTTTTTTTTTTTAATTTTGAGAGGGAGTTTTGCTCTTGTTGCCCAGGCTGGAGTGCAGTGGCAGGATCTTGGCTCACCACAACCTCCACCTCCTGGGTCTCGAACTCCCGAGCTCAGGTGATCTGCCCACTGTGGCCTCCCAAAGTGCTGGGATTACAGGCATAAGCCACCACACCTGGCCAAAAAAATTTTTTTTTCTCAATTTAGCTGGGCACAGTGATGTGCGCCTGTAGTCCTAGCTACTTGGGAGGCTGAGGTAGGAGGATTACTTGAACTTGGGAGGTCAAGGCTGCAGTGAACTGTGATGGTGCCATAGAGCTCCAGCCAGGACAACAGAGCAAGACTCTGTCGCTAAAAAAAAAAAAAAGAAAAAGAAAAAATTATATGGACAGAAAGCAGGAATAACAAATCAAAACCACAATGCAATACCACACCCATTAGGATGGCTACTATTTAAAAAGAAAAGAAAAGAAAACAACAAGTGTTGACGAGGATGTGGAGAAATTGGAACCCGTGTGCACTTCTGGTAGAAATGTAAAATGATGCAGCTGCTATGGGAAACAGTACAGCAGTTCCTCAAAAAAATAAAAGCAGATGCCGGGCACAGTGGCTCATGCCTGTAATCCCAGCACTTTGGAAGGCTGAGGCAGGTGGATCGCCTGAGGTCAGGAATTCGAGACCAGTCTGACCAACATGTGAAACCCTGTTGCTACTAAAAATACAAAAAAATTAGCTAGGCGTGGTGGTGTGCGCCTACAATCCCAGCTACTCGGGAGGCTGAGGCAGGGGAATTGCCTGAACCAGGGAGGTGGAGGTTGCAGTGAGCTGAGATCGCGCCTTGCCCTCCAGCCTGGGTGACACAGCAAGACTCCGTTTCAAAAATAAATAAATAAATAAAATAAAAATAAAAACAGAATTACCATAGGATCTGGCAATTTTACTTCTAGGTCTATACCAAAAACAACTGAATTGAGAGCAGGGTCTCAAAGAGACATTTGTATCCATATTCATAGCTGCATTATCCACAATAGCTAAAAAGTGGAAGCTGTCCAAGTGTCCATTGGCAGATGAATGGATACAGGAAATGTGGTATACAATAGAATCTTATTCTGCCTTAAAAAGGAAGAAAATTCTTCAGGTTGGGTGTGGTGATTCACACTTGTAATCTGAGCACTTTGGGAGGCCAAGGTGGTAGAATCGCTTGAGGCTAGGAGTTTGGGACCAGCCTGGGCAACATAGCGAGCCTCCCTTCTCTACAAAAAATAAAAGAATTAGCTAGGCATGGTGGTGTACACTTGCTAGTCCCAGCTACAAAGGAGGCTAAGACAAGAGAATCATTGAGTCTAGGAGTTTGAGGCTGCAGTGATTGCTGCATTGCACTATAGCCTGGGTGACAGAGTGAGATGCTGTCTTGAAAAAAAAAGGGGGAAGGAAACTCTTGTGCAAGCTGCAACCTGGATGAACCTTGAGGATGTTACGCTAACTGAAGTAACCAGTTACAAAAAGACAAATACTATATGATTTCACTTACATGAGGTGTATAAAGTAGTCAAAGTCATAAAGACAAAGTGGTTGCCAGGGGCTGGGAGTAGCAAATAGAGTTATTGTTTTTCTTTTTTAAATTTTTTTAGAGATGGGGTCTCATATGTTGCCCACGCTGGAGTGCAAGGGCCATTGGTGAATGCAATCATAGCACACTACAGCCTCAAACTCATGGGCTCAAGCAATCCTCCCACCTGAGCCTCCCAAGTACCTGGGACTACAGGTATGAACCAACACATCTGGCTTGAGTTATTGTTCAATGGGTACAGAGTTTCTGTTTTACAAGATTAAAAGAGTTCTGCAGATGCATGGTGGTGATGGTTGCGTAACATTGTAAATATATTTCATAGCCCTGAAATGTACACTTCAAAACAGCTATGATGATAAATTTTATGTTATGTGTATTTTACTACAGTAAAAAAAAAAAAAAAATGGAAAAACAAAAGCAGGGGTGGTAATATTCAGATTAGTCAAAGTATATATCCACAGCAAAACTTTTCATATTGAAATGGGAACCACCCATAATACAGACCAAGCCACGATGGAGCAACTGGTACCAGATTTGCTCTGGCCCCAACAAAAACAACTATTATTTAAAAAAGGACAAAATGGCAGGGTGCCGTGGCTCACACCTGTAATCCCAGCACTTTGGGAGGTCGAGGCGGGTGGATCGCCTGAGGTCGGGAGTTCAAGACCAGCCTGGCCAATGTGGTGAAACCTTGTCTCTACTAAAAATACAAAATTTAGCTGGTATGGTGGCGGGTGCCTGTAATCCCAGCTACTCTGGAGGCGGAGGCACGAGAATCACTTGAACCCGGGAGGCGAAGGTGGCAGTGAGCCGAGATCGTGCCATTGCACTCCAGCCTGGACAACAAGAGCAAACCTCCGTCTCAAATAAATAAATAAATAAATAAAAGGACAAATCAAACAACTGTTTTTAGACACAAGACTAGGCAGGACTGTGATCCTTGAGAAAAGGGAAGCAAGCGGAGGGGAAGAGGCAGCAGCTTACTGCCCAGAGGCACTTCCTGGACTTCAGAGCCAAGCACCATGAAGAAATAATGAAAGATTCAAGAAAGGAAAAAAGTGGAATTCCCGGAGCTTTGAAACACCACATCTGATATGAAAAGTTCACTGGATGGGTTTAATAAAAATGCAGAAGTAGCCGGGCGCGGTGGCTCACGCCTGTAATTCCAGCACTTTGGGAGGCTGAGGCGGGCAGATCACAAGGTCAGGAGATCGAGACCACGGTGAAACCCCGTCTCTACTAAAAAATACAAAAAATTAGCCGGGCGCGGTTGTGGGTGCCTGTAGTCCCAGCTACTCGGGAGGCTGAGCCAGGAGAATGGTGGGAACCCGGGAGGCGGAGCTTGCAGTGAGCTGAGATCCGGCCACTGCACTCCAGCCTGGGCGACAGAGCGAGACTCCGTCTCAAAAAAAAATAAATAAATAAAAATAAATAAATAAATAAATAAATAAATAAAAATGCAGAAGTAAAGATAAGTGAACTAAAGCTCGGAAGGAAAAAAAGACTGAGAAAAAATGAACAGAAGAAAGAAAAAAACCAGAAGTTCAGTGACCTATGGGATGATACTGGACAGTTGGCCAGGTTGGAGTCAAACTCCTGACTTCAGGTGATGAGCCCACCTCAGCTTCCCAAAGTGCTAGGATTGCAGGCGTGAGCCACCGCTCCGGGCCAGAACAGCATCTTTAAAGAGACAAAGGCCGTGCTGGTTCACCTCATTTGTGTCTCCAGATCCCTGGCAGGTTGGCTATGGCTGACTGCAGCTACCAAGCTCCCCTGGCCGCTGATTTCTTGTTGAGCTAGACCATGAGGAACCCTAGCAGGAGGCCACAGGGAGGGAGGAGAGTAAGGTTGAGGTGTCAATTCCCAGGCTCACTCCTGAGAATGGTCTAGGGCTCACCCAAGGTCCCATCCTGTTAGGCTGCCCTTTCCTCTCTGCTCCCAGCCCCTAGGTTCCTGTATCCTTTCTCTCTCCTCTCCTTTGCCCAAGGGGAGCAATGGTCACTGTTGTTACAATGCGATGCATCGGCCCTGCGGTGTCCGGGAAGCAGACAGGGAGGGAGGGACGGTAACTACCGCGTCAATCTCGTTGAGGACCTTCCACTGTTCATAGGGCACACCTAGCGCCTCAGCCGTCTGGATTGTCCTCTTCATCTGGCTTGTCCAGACCTTCAGATCCTTGATATTCTGGTCACTGATGAACTGGGCCAGACTCTTGGCAAACTGAAATACATCATAAGCAAACTCAGACCCACAGGTCCTGGGATGCCCTTAAAGCATCCCACAGCCGCAGGGTTCATGAGATCATCCTCACCTTGAATGCTCACTACAGGTTTGGTAAAAAGCATGAACTAACTTGTCAATGACACACATGCTGACACACAAGAACACAGTGCTGTTCTTGTCCACCCTCCCAGACCCTGAGCACAGTAGCGCAGTTCCAGCTGTGACTCATCAGGGCCACTGTCTCCCCACAACCAGGTGCCCTGTGCTTCGTGACCACTGAGGTCTCACTATCTCCCCTGGACTGCGACACAGCCATCTGCTACACTGTATGGACTCAAGTCGCTCCAAGGGTGGCATGCCTCTGACAAAAGGGGCTCAGCGAGTGACAGTTCACACGGACACCAGAGATTTGCCTGTTGCTTGGTGACCTTCCTTACATGATGGGAAGATTCTAGGCTGAATGAAGGTCATTCACCTCAACTGCACATTAAAAGAATGGAAGCCCCACCCCCAAAAAATACAAATAAAAAATAAAGAAAAAAAAAAGAATGGGAGCCCAGCCCCAGCACACACACACATGCATAAACCTAGCCATGCAGAGGTACAAATGCAGGCCCATGTGCACACGCAGGCATACATGCACTGACCTCCCTGCCCCGGGGGGACAGTCCTGGGTCCCCGCCAATCCGGCCCTTGAGGTTGAGCTCACTCTCCCCGTGCCGGCAGAGGTAGATGGAGCGGGGGGTCACGTGGATGTTCATGAGGTAATATACGATGCGGCTCTGGATGTGGTCAGCTACACGGTTCACCACGTAGCTCTGACCCACATCCATGATCTTGATATAGGACAGGTCCCTGTCCACAGAGAAGGTAGAAAGAAGCCTGTGAGTGTGGCCAGGGTCCTCACAGAGCACGTCTGGCCAGCCACAGAGTCGCTGCGAGGCCTTGCACCTCTGACCACCAGAGATTACAACCCTCAGGACCGTCAGCTGGTGTGCAAGTGATGGGGGTGAGGCGGGAGCAACACAGTGAGTTTGACGCACAGGCAAACCCTGTGGGAGACAGGAGATGGGAGGTGCTCATCACTCATCATGCTTCCCAAAGGTGACATCCAAAGTTGAGGGTCCGCCATACCACATCATGACTTTCTCCGCTGCTCATGTGTCCCTGGGGCCCCTCTGGCCTACCTCCGAGTTCTCAACACACTGTCTGTAAGTTGAACCAAGAGACAGGTTTCCCCAGGGTTGTTGACTTGAGAGTAGCTGGCAAACGCTCCACGCCCCCACTCTTCCTGGCCAGCCATCCAAGGACCTGGCCTTTCCTTCCCGTGACCTCCTCCCACTACAGCCCAGTCCAGGTCATCCAAGTGTGCTGAGCAGCTGCCACACCCCACCCTGGGCAGCTGGTGGACGAGACAAGAAGCACAGGAGGATGGTGCCGGTGGTGGCAGCCGATAAGTCCAGCTCAGCCACTTTCCGTGCTCTGGATCCGTATGGCACTGCAGCTTGGACAGCACACTGATCAGTCTCTGTGGGGGTGCAGGGTGTGGGGGTGTACGGTGGGCTCTGGTTCAGGCTGAGAGTCCTCTGGATATTCTCAGTTGAGCTCTCACTGTCTGGACCTTGGGACCTTGGTTTGGGGGTGTCGTGATGACACCACCATAAAAGCAAGAGCAATGCTTACTGACAAACCACCACTCCAGACAAATGGATCACACCACAGAACCATGAAAAGAAATGCTGTGTGGGGGAACCATGAAAGCCACAGAGAGACCCAGGCAGCAGAGGCCATTCAGCTCAGGCCCGGCCTGGGCTGGCTCCAGAACCCAGCTGAGGACACTGCTCTATGCACACCCCAAAAGCATTCATCTCAGAGTTGCTTATGTTTCTTGGTTTACGTGCATCCTTTTTTTGTTTTTGAGACAGGGTCTCACTCTGTCACCTAGGCTGGAGTGCAGTGGTGCAATCACAACTCACTGCAGCCTTGACCTCCCTGGGGTTAGGTGATTCTCCCACCTCAGCCTCCTGAGTAGCTGGGACAACAGGGGTGCGCCACCACGCCAGGCTAATTTTTTTTTTTTGAGACAGTCTCGCTCTGTCACCCAGGCTGGAGTGCAGTGGCGTGATCTCGGCTCACTGCAAGCTCCACCTCCCGGGTTCACGCCATTCTTCTGCCTCAGCCTCCCGAGTAGCTGGGACTACAAGTGCCCGCCACCACGCCCAGCTAATTTGTTTGTATTTTTAGTAGAGACGGGGTTTCACTGTGTTAGCCAGGATGGTCTCGACCTCCTGACCTTGTGATCCACCCACCTCGGCCTCCCAAAGTGCTGGGATTACAGGCGTGAGCCACCGCGCCCGGCCGCCAGGCTAATTTTTGTATTTTTTGTAGAGATAGGGTTTCACCATGTTGCCCAGGCTGGTATCAAAATCCTGGGATTAAGGAATCCTCCCGCCTCATCCTCCCAAAGTGCTAGGATTACAGGCATGAGCCACTCTGCCCGGCCTGTATTACAGATGCTTATAGAATTATAGAACCCAAGCACAAGTTTGTATTCCAGCCTTTTCACTGAATGCAGTGTTATATTTTCCCATGTCTCTCCACAATGACGAGTTATAATGATGACTGTAATACTTCACCAAGTATTACATTCTGTGATGTAATACTTCACATTATTATTTACCCAGCCCACTGCCCCATGTGTTCTGTAAGACAGGATTTGGTAAACTATGGCCAGACAGTCAAATTCAGTTGCGGGCTGTTTTTATCAAGTTTTACTGGAACACAGCTATACCCATTGATTTACATATCATCTATGTTTCATTTGTACTGTGACAGCAGAGCAAGTGCCTGCAACAGAGGCTGTACATCCTCCAAGGTCTAAATACAATATTTACTTTCTGATCTTTGACAGAAAATATTTGCCAACCCCTGCTTTAAGACCCCCTGCATAGAAATTCGGCTTGATTTCATGATGGAATAGTATAAAATCCTGACTCGCAGAGTTTCGGATGAGGTAGCAGGTGTTCTGCAAGTCACCTCTGGCCAAAAATTTCTGCCCCAAGGAAATAAACAAGAAAATCAGACCATCTCTGCTTTTTGGTCCCCCAGCCACCACCATGGGGAGCCACAGGAGGCAACCAAGTATGACCCCTGCTGCCCGCCATGGCAGCTGCAGGGCCCGGCGCTGCCCTGACTCACCTATCCAGGTCCTCATCTAGCGACTCGTAGGAGTTCTCATAGCACTCAATGCGCCTCATGAAGTCCTCGGTAGCCTCGTCACTGTCGCGGTTAACATAGTCAGGGCTGCCCAGTTTCACTTGCTGCCGGAGCCAGGCACAGAGCAAGGACATACCAGGGTCAGAAGCCAGGCGGGGCCAGAGACCAAGGAGACTGCGGTGCAGGGGGCTGGAGGAGGTTGGGCCAGAGACCAGGGCGGGGACCTGAGGCTGGAAGCTGAGGTTGGGGGCTGGTCCAGCAGCTCCCTGGTCTGAGTTCTCATACGAGTGCAGAGAGGATATCACTAAGGGTCCAGGGATTGAAGTCCCTCATCCTTGTGGGTACGGGGGAGGCCTAGAGGCCTTTCCCCACCCTGAACTCTCATTTCCCCAGACCCAGATGGCCATTCCTGAGATAAACTGGGGGAGGAGAAGGGAAGAATGAGTCTTTCTTTCTCTGAAATATAAAACATGCCCGTCACCCACCCTCCCACCCCTGCTGAAGGTGCTCTCCTAGTGTCCAGGTGGTTACGATGGGGAGGAGGGGTGAGTGAATGTCCACCAGCCACCCAGCCTTCCACACAGTGGTCCACAGAGTGCAAGGCTCACCTGACCCAGCATTTGATGTTACACTTCCTCCCTACCCCCCGCAAGGTTCAAGATCAAATTAAGATTAGCCAAAACCTGAAAAGGGATGTCCCTGTCACACACGACCTTCTGACAAGGTCAGATGCACCACTCACCACGATGTTGGCAGCTATGACCTCAGGATCCACACAGATGGACTCGACAAAAAAGGTCTGCGGCAGGACCAGAAGCGCCGGGATGGTGGGAGGGAGGAACACGGACATGTTCAGGGCCTCCTGCCTTGCTCGGAGCTCTCCATCCCCCGAGGCCCATGCTGACCAGCAGCCAGGCCCTGAAACCCTGCTTCAGGGGGCTGGAGGCAGGGTCAAGGAGTCCGGAGCTAAAGCAGGTGCTGCCCTATCCTAGACTCTCCCACCAAAACCCCCTTCCCTCTGGAAAGCAAACCCCAGGTGGAGACAGCCCTTCTCATCCCAAATTACACTCAGGAGCCATGCCAGCCCCATGCCCCTTATGCATCAGCAGGCGGTGAAAGGAGCCCTGGAGGGCAGGGGGCATGCCACAGTTCCACCAAGGAGAGGAGCCAAGGAGGCCTCACCTTGTAGCCATTCTGTTCTCCAAAATTAAAGATGGTCGCTCTCCGTTCTCGGGTGGTGTTTGTGGCATCAAAAACCTAGGACCAAACTAGGGTTAACTCAGCCTCTGGCCCTGGGGAAGGTAGGAGTCACCTGAGGGCCGCAGCACAGGCTCTCTGGGGACTGGTTTTTTACAAGGACCAGCTGCTGCCAGGGCCACCTGCCTGGCCGGTCTCCTTCAGACTTGCAAGGGCTGGGCTGGCCCTCCCCTTCCTTGGAGAGAATGACCCAAGGAAGATGGAAGGAGAGGATGCCTATGCTCCCAGCAGGGGAGCAGATCTTTAGCACAGAAGAACCTACTCAGTGCTGCTCTGCACACAATGGGCACTCAGTTTGTGTTTGACCAACAGGAATTTCAGTGAAACCAGTTAAACCTGGTGAACTGAACCTACTTTTATTTCTACTCCATCTTGACACCCCAGTAAAATGGGAACGGAAAGATAAAAAGAGAGGACAGGAGATGGAGGCATCTACAACATTCTGTCAGATAGATCCATGGTGACGGACTCAAAGTCATGGAGGAAACCAAACACAGGTGCTCGCCAACCAGTTCACACCACCTGCGCAGGACCAGAGAACTCAGGAGGGTGTGCTGGCATTGCTAGGAAAAGGGACAAAGGTGGGGAGGAAATGGGAAGACTGGCTGGCTGATAAAGAAGAGCTGGAGGCCCAGGCCCCCTTCCCAACCCCATCCAGCTGGGCACTGACCCATCTGGAGCTCTTTGAGAAGCATCCTTTGATGCGGCCCACCCACCAGCATGTCTAAGCCGTTTTTTTAACAACATCATTTTTTTATTTTTTAAGTTTTTGTTTTATTTTCAGAGATGGAGTCTCGTTGTGTTGCCTGGGCTGGAGTGCAATGGCTATTCACAGGCAAGATCATATGCACTGCAGCCTCAAGCCTCTGGGCTCAAGAGATCCCCTAAACTTAGCCTCCTGAGTAGCTGGGACTACAATTGTGCACCACCACACCTGGGTTACAGCATCATTTTTTGTTTTTGTTTAAAAAAAATTTTTTTTGAGACAGGGTCTCCCTTTGTCGCCCAGGCTGGAATATAGTGGAGCAATCATAGCTCACTGCAGCCTCAACCTCCTGGGCTTAAGTGATTCTTTCACCTCAGCTTCCCAAGTAGCTGGGATTACAGGCATGTACCACCATACCTGGCTAATTTTTTTTTTTTTTTTTTTTTTTTTTGAGACAGAGTCTTGCTCTGTCGTCCAGGCTGGAGTGCAGTGGCATGATCTCGGCTTACCGCAAGAATTTGGAGGTGGAGGTGGAGAATTGCTCCACCTCCCTGGTTCAAGCAATTCTCCTGCCTCAGCCTCCTGAGTAGCTGGGACTACAGGCATGTGCTACCACACTTGGTTAATTTTTGTATTTTTAGTAGAGATGAGGTTTCACCATGTTGGCCAGGCTGGTCTGGAACTCCTGACCTCATGATCTGCCCACCTTGGCCTCCCAAAGTGCTGGGATTACAGGAGTGAGCCACTGTGCCCAGCCACACCTGGCTAATTTTTTTTTTTTTTTTTTTTTTTGAGATGGAGTCTTGCTCTGTTACCCAGGCTGAAGTGCAGTGGCATGATTTCAGCTCACTGCAAGCTCCGCCTCCCAGGTTCACGCCATTCTCCTGCCTCAGCCTACTAAGTAGCTGGGACTACAGGCACCCGCCACCATGCCTGGATAATTTTTTGTATTTTTTTAGTAGAGACGAAGTTTCACTGTGTTAGCCAGGATAGTCTCAATCTTCTGACCTCATAATCTGCCTGCCTCGGCCTCCCAAAGTGCTGGGATTACAGGCGTGAGCCTCCGTGCCTGGCCCACAGCTGGCTAATTTAAAAAATTTTCTGTAGACACAGAGTCTCGCTATGTTGCCCAGGCTGGTCTCAAACTCTTGGGCTCAAGCAATCCTCCTGCCTTGGCCTCCCGAAGTGCTGCAATTACAGGCACGAGCTACCATGTTAGCCCAGCATCATTTTTTTAAAAAGGGCATCCAGCCAGGGCTCACTGGACACTCCAGCAAAACCTTTAACAAGAAAAACAGAAAGTAAATCAAACAAACAAACAAAAAAAAGGAATTTGGGCCAGGTGCAGTGGCTCATGCCTATAATCCCAGCACTTTCAGAGGCTGGGGCAGGCAAATTGCTTGAGACCAGGAACTTGAGACCAGCCTGGGCAACAAGGTGAAACCCTGTCTCTATGAAAAATACAAAATTAGCCAAGCATGGTGGCACATGCCTGTAGTCCCAGCTACTCGGAGGCTGAGGCAGGAGAATGGCGTAAACCCGGGAGGTGGAGCTTGCAGTGAGCTGAGATCCGGCCACTGCACCTCAGCCTGGGCGACAGAGCGAGACTCCGTCTCAAAAAAAAAAAAAAAAAAAAAAAGAATCAAGCTAGCATGCAGCCACCAGTTCTAGAAAAAGCAGCTCAGAAAATGAGAGTAGGGATGGAGTGAGTTGCCAGAAAGAGGCAGAGGTGATTTGTCACAGAAATAATACATGACAATTTCCATAACCTGGACAACAAGAGTGTTATGATGAAAAGGGGCCCCCTAGGACCATGTGTGGTGGAGGAGAGAAGACCCACCACAAACCACATCACCTTGAAGACCCTAAAGGCCTCCCAAGAGGAAGGAGCATGAGAAATTCTCAGCTCCCTCTCAGAGATGAAGCTTTTAGGAAGATCAGCAAATCAGAATGACGTGAGACTTCTCCACAGCCATACTAGAAGCCGTAAGACATCAGAGTGATGTTGTAGAAGTTCTAAGGGAAAAGCACTTTCCACCTAGAATTCTATACCCAACCATCAAATGTGAGGATTAAAAAAAGACACTTCAGGCCGGGCGCGGTGGCTCAAGCCTGTAATCCCAGCACTTTGGGAGGCCGAGATGGGCGGATCACGAGGTCAGGAGATCGAGACCATCCTGGCTAACACGGTGAAACCCCGTCTCTACTAAGAAATACAAAAAATAGCCGGGCGAGGTGGCAGCGCCTGTAGTCCCAGCTACTCGGGAGGCTGAGGCCGGAGAATGGCGTGAACCCGGGAGGCGGAGCTTGCAGTGAGCTGAGATCCGGCCACTGCACTCCAGCCTGGGCTACAGAGCGAGACTCCGTCTCAAAAAAAAAAAAAAAAAAAAAAAAAAAGACACTTCAGACATGCAAGGTCTCACACAATTTACCTCCCCAAGCACCTTTCTCAGGAGGTTACTGGTGAATGTGCTTCAACGAAACAAATCAGTAAGTCTAGGAGAAGATGATGTGGGATCCATAGGCAGAACATTCAACCCAGGAGAGAGAAGGGCAATGGCTGTGCTACAGGCACAGATTGTAGCTGGGGACAGAGAACTCCGGAAGGCATGACTCCAAGAAGGAAAAGGAAGGGAAAGAACAGACCCTGTGTTTGACTATATAAGGTTGGGGTAGAGCCCTTTCCCACAGACACCCCAGCTCAACCCTGTTCCACCCTTCCATCTGACTAGGGGGGCCAACACACAGGTGGAATCCCCTTAACCCAGGATTTGGTGGGTTCCTGCAACAACCAGTAATGCTGGGCAGGACTCTCTCCACACCAGGAAAAATCACATTTACTAAAGACTTAGGCAACCTGATGCCTGTAACTTCTGGGGTGGCCAACAATACAAGTATCCAGAGGGAAGTCCTGCAGGGTCAAGTGCGGCCACCACATGCCCAGAGGGAAACTCCTGGCCCACATCCAGTCTCTCGCTTCCTCCTGCATAGCTGTTGTAGACTTCCTCCCAAGGGCTGGCACCCAGGGCATCTGGGGCACACACACCCTGCCTTCCCCTCCAGATGCCTGATGAGCAAAGGCACAGATGTGGGTGGGCTCCCATGTGTCACTCCCAGCTGTCACCAGGGTGTCACACTCACCGCCACATGTCCCCCCTCCTCACTAAGGAATCGCCGGACGTCACGGAGAGCTGCCAGGGCACACTGCCTTCAGGAGAGAAAACACAGGGTCAGCTCAGCACCCGACCCTGGCTGCAGGAGGGTGGCCAGGGACACACTACAGGAGGAGACATGACAGGAGAAGGAACAGTCCCAAGATCTCTTGCTCTCTTTTCAAAATTTCTCTTGTCTTTCCTCCGCATAATGTTCAGTGTTTGGCTAACTCTGCTCCTGTGAGGTGGAAGGCTATATATTCTTGGCCATTAGCAACATTTTTTAAGCACTACGTTTCTATATTTTCCCTCATCTTCTCATTGTGTGCAAATCCATGTTGTCATTGTGCCATATTCATGATTTCTAATTGTCATATATTTTCCCTGATTATCAAAATAGGCCTCCTTTTTTTTTTGAGACTGAGTCTCACTGTGTCACCCAGGCTGGAGGGCGGTGGCGCGATCTTGGCTCAGTGCAACTTCTGCCCAGTTTCAAGCCCTTTTAGTGCCTCAGTCTACTGAGTAGCTGGGATTACAGGCATGCACCACTACACCCAGCTAATTTTTGTATTTCAAAATAACCATTTTTAAAAGCAGCCGTTTTCTTGTGTGCATGTCAGGAGTTGGTGGTGGGGATGGGAGGAACGCTAGTGCTGGCCCTCAGGCAGTGTTAGGCTTAATGCTCAACTTTCTTTCCTGAAAGAGAATTCCCCAAACCACCCCTTCTGGGGGAGGGTTCTGCATCTCTGCTTCTATCATATGCATACCCTCCAGAATGGGAATCCCCCACCTATGACCGAACACTGACTATACAGTTTTCAGATCTTTTTTTTTTTGAGATAAGGTCTCGCCCTGCCACCTAGGCTGGAGTGCAGTAGTGGGATCATGTCTCACTGCAACCCAAACTCCTGGGCTCAAGCAGTCTTCCTGCCTCAGCCTCCAGAGTAGCTGAAACTACAGGGGTATGCCACCACACCTGGCTAATCTTTAAATTTATTTATTTATTTATTTATTTTTTATTTTTTTTTTTTTTGAGACGGAGTCTCGCTCTGTCGCCCAGGCTGGAGTGCAGTGGCCGCATCTCAGCTCACTGCAAGCTCCGCCTCCCGGGTCTACGCCATTCTCCTGCCTCAGCCTCCCGAGTAGCTGGGACTACAGGCGCCCGCCACCTCACCCGGCTAGTTTTTTTTTTTTTTTTGTATTTTTTAGTAGAGACGGGGTTTCACCGTATTAGCCAGGCTGGTCTCGATCTCCTGACCTTGTGATCCGCCCGTCTCGGCCTCCCAAAGTGCTGGGATTACAGGCTTGAGCCACCGCGCCCGGCCTTAAATTTATTTTAGAGATGGGGTCTTGCTATGTTGCCCAGGTTTACACAATCTTTATAAGTTCTCAGCTTTTTCATTTATTGCTGCAAAATGGATTGACACATAAGGATTTTTTTTTTTTTTTTTTTTTTTTAGACAGAGTATTACTCTCTGTTGCGCAGGTTGGAGTGCAGTGGTACAATCTCAGCTCACTGTAACCTCTGCCTCCCAGGTTCAAGCAATTCTTGTGCCTCAGCCATCCAAGTACCAGGGATTATGGGTGCTTGCCACCACATCTGGCTAACTGTTGTATTTTCAGTAGAGATAGGGTTTCGTCATGTTAGCCAGGCTGGTCTCAAACTCCTGACTTCAACTGATCTGCCCACTTTGGTCTCCCAAAGTGCTGGGATTACAGGCGCGAGCCACTGCGCCCAGCCAGGATTGTTCTCATCTTTTCTTTTTGAGACGGAGTCTCACTCTCTCTCCCAGTCTGGAGTGCAGTGGCGCGATCTTGGCTCACTGCAAGCTCCACCTCCCGGGTTCACACCATTCTCCTGCCTCAGCCTCCCGAGTAGCTAGGACTACAAGCGCCTGCCACCACGCCTGGCTAATTTTTTGTATTTTTAGTAGAGACGGGGTTTCACTGTGTTAGCCAGGATGGTCTTGATCTCCTGACCTCATGATCCACCTGCCTTAGCCTCCCAAAGCCCTGGGATTACAGGCATGAGCCACCGCGCCCGGCCTGTTCTTATCATATCAATTTCTCCTATGAGGTCTGGAGACAGCTAAATTACCTTTTGATCTATTTTCTTTCTTTTTTTTTTTTTTTTTTGAGACGGAGTCTCGCTCTGCTGCCCAGGCTGGAGTGCAGTGGCCGGATCTCAGCTCACTGCAAGCTCCGCCTCCCAGGTTCACGCCATTCTCCTGCCTCAGCCTCCCGAGTAGTTGGGACTACAGGCGCCCGCCACCGCGCCCGGCTAGTTTTTTGTATTTTTTAGTAGAGACAGGGTTTCACCGTGTTAGCCAGGATGGTCTCGATCTCCTGACCTCGTGATCCGCCCGTCTCGGCCTCCCAAAGTGCTGGGATTACAGGCTTGAGCCACCGCGCCCGGCCTTGATCTATTTTCTTTCCTTCTTCTATGTAAGGGTAAAGCTAGATCTCCTAGCCTTGTGTTTTTTGGTTTTGATTTTTGTTTTTTTGAGACAGAGTCTCACTTTGTTGCCCAGACTGGAGTACAGCGGCATGATCTCAGCTCACTACAACCTCCACCTCCTGGGTTCAAGCAATTATCCTGCCTCAGCCTCCTGAGTAGCTGGGATTACAGGCATGTGCCACCACACCCAGGTAATTTTTTGTATTTTTAGTAGAGATGGGATTTCACCATGTTCCCCATGTGGGTCTTAAACTCCTGACCTCAAGTGATCCACCCTCCTCAGCCTCCCAAGTCCTGGCATTACAAGCATGAGCCACAGTGCCCAGCCTTCCTGACTTTGTTGATCTTTGGATTTTGTGTTTAAACTCCCAGCATGTCAAAGTCAAAGAGCTCTCATCAGGACGATATGCCTGAAATACAGAGGCAGAAGCTGATCTGGAAACCACAGAGAAATCAGTGGTAGAGCTGAGTCCAGGGCACTGAAAGAAGCTCTCCTCTTATGGCTCCTTGTGACCTTTCTTTTCTTTCTTTCTTTCTTTCTTTTTTTTTAAGAGACGGGGTCTCACTATGCTCCCCAGGCTGGTCTTTAACTCCTGGCTTCCAGTGATCCTCCTGCCACAGCCTCCCCAAATATTGGGATTACACACGTGAGCTACTACGTCCAGCCCTTGTAACCATTTCTTTGCCCCAACGGTTCTTTCAGTTAGAGCCTCAAGGTGCTTTCTTCCTCATGCCAAAAACATCTGAATTCTGAGAGTCCAGGTAACTGGCATTTGTGGGGACATTTCTCACCACCTGCACTTAGAGCCCCATGTTCTGGGCTAAGATCTCTTTTGTGGGCTGCTCTGGCCATGACACCACCATGCAGAAGACACCTCAGGGCCCCGGTGGAGATGCTGAGGGAAGAGCCTGGGAGCCTGTGTGTGCATGTGTGTGTGTGACAAAGTGCGAATAGGGTGAAGAGATGCATATGTGCATGAATCCACATGTGTGGGTGGATATGTATGAGTGTGTTGTGCCCAAATATGTACATGTAAATCTGTGAGTGTACCTGTGTGAGCATTCCCTGGGCCCATGTGTGAGCACAGATGCATACACACATAAGCGTGCACTATCCCTGTGTGCAGTGTGTGACTAAATGGGCATAGGTGTGAATGAGTGTGCCCGCATGTGTGCACACAGGATGTGTGTGCATGCACCCATGTGTATAAGTTTGTGTGTGTGTGTCCAAGCATATACAGAGTATGCATGTGGGGGTGCCCGTGTGTGTACACGTGGTGTGTGTGTATACATCTCTTCATGTGCTATGTGACTGAGCACAAATGTGATCATGCTTGGTGTGTACGTGTGCACAGATCCACATGTGCATACAGGTGAGCACAAGTGTGTATGTGCCCACACACATGCCTCTGAGGTATGCATGTGTGTGCACCACCTTCATGTGTAGTGGGTGACTGCATGTGTGTGGAAGAGTTAACACAGCAGGTGTGAAAATGGTCCCCTTCAAAAGGCCTGCTTGTGAGGTTGGCCGTTGGCCAGGATCGGGGAAATTTTTTTTCTTTTTTTTTTTTTTGAGACGTAGTCTCGCTCTGTCTCCCAGGCTGGAGTGCAGTGGCGTGATCTCGGCTCACTGCAAGCTCCGCCTCCCGGGCTCACGCCATTCTCCTGCCTCAGCCTCCCAAGTAGCTGGGACTACAGGCGCCCGCCACCACGCCCGGCTAGTTTTTTGTATTTTTAGTAGAGACGGGGTTTCACCATGTTAGCCAGGATAGTCTCGATCTCCTGACCTCGTGATCCACCCGCCTCGGCCTCCCAAAGTGCTGGGATTACAGGCTTGAGCCACCGCGCCCGGCCAAGGATTGGGGAAATTGATGGTAAATGGTTCCCTCTAGTGATATAAAACTTTCCCTGAATTGGCCGGGCGCAGTGGCTCATGCCTGTAATCCCAGCACTTTGGGAGGCTGAGGCAGGTGGATCACGAGGTCAGGAGATCGAGGCCATCCTGGCTAACACTGTGAAACCCCATCTCTACTAAAAATACAAAACAAAATTAGCTGGGTGTGGTGGCGGGTGCCTGTAGTCCCAGCTACTTGGGAGGCTGAGGCAGGAGAATGGCATGAACCTGGGAGGCGGAGCTTGCAGTGAGCCGAGATCACGCCACTGCACTCCAGCTTGGGCGACAGAGCAAGACTCCGTCTCAAAAAAAAAAAAACAAAACCTTTCCCTGAATTATAAGAGGAGCTCACTGTGCATAGACTGTTTATACAAACAACATGGTTTATGTTGGATACCTGCTTTCCTTCTGGAGTCTGGAATTTTGGTACATGCTAGGCACAGGGTGCTTATGTGACCAGCCTCCAATAAAAACCTTGGTCATTGAGTCTCTGATGAAATTCCCTGGCAGACAACATTTCACACGTGTTGTCACAGTTCAATGCAGGAGGAATTAAGTGCATCCTGTGTGACTCCATGGGGACAGAATCTTGATGCTCACTCCTGGTTTCCTCTGGACTTCACCCCAGGCCCCTTTTCTCTTTCTGATTTTGCTTTGTGTCATTTTGCCATACTAAGTCTTAGCTATGAGTCCAGCTATATGCCCAGTCCTGGGAGTCACCCTAGCAAATCACTGAACCTGAGGGCAGTCTTGGGGAATGCCAACACATCATGTATGAGCCTGCTCAGGTGTGTATGTATATACAGGGTGAGAACATGTGCGCCTGCATGTGTGTAATGGCCCTTGAATCATGTGTGGCTCACGTGAGCCCAAGTATTTATATGTGTAGGTGCCCACACATGTACATATACCCTGATGTATAATGTGACTGTGTACACAGGGGGTGTGCATGTGTATATACCCTGTACATATGGTATATGCATGTCCAGATGTGTGCCTATGAGGTATGCACATGTATGCACGTGCCCACGTGTGTGTGTGCATGGGGGCTTGTGTGTGGTATATGACTGTGTGCAGGAGTATGAGTGTGCCTGTTTAGAATATGTGTACTCATGCCCTTGCATACATTTTTTTTTGAGACACAGTCTTGCTCTAACAATCACCCAGGCCGGAGCACAGAGACGCGATCTTGGCTCGTTGCAACCTCCACCTCTCAGGTTCAAGCAATTCTCATGCCTCAGCCTCCTGATGTAGCTGGGATTACAGGTGTGCACCACCACATGTGGCTAATTTTTGTGATTTTAGTAGAGACGGGGTTTTGCCATGTTGGTCAGGCTGGTCTCAAACTCCTGGTCTCAAGTGATCCACCCACCTCAGCCTCCCAAAGTGCTAGGATTACAGGCGTGAATCACCGCACCCGGCCTTGCATGCACTTTTCTAGATCTTCTGCTGTGTCCAGTGTCAGAGAAGGACTTCAACATTGTGTGAGTAACTGGGCCTCTGGGAAACACAGCTGTCTCTTCCCAGGTTTTCCACTTTAAAAACTCCGGTTCTTTTATTTTGCTAATTGGGAAATTTTGGGCTGATTAATAGGAAATGGCCCTGTGGCCCAGCCAGAGCCAGGATTCAGATACAGGAGAGAGGGTTTCTAGGGCAGCCACAGGGTGTGCCTGCAGAAAGGCAGCAATGAGCCTGTCCCCAGCTTCTGTCGCAGGGTGACGCTGGACTAGCTTCCCAACCTCTATTGAGTCTAGGTCTCTTCATTTGAATTAATCCGAAATCTCCCCACCTTAGGGGGACAGCCGGAGTGGAACGGCTGGCAGACTCTCCCCACTAACACTATGGATTCAGACAGGACAGACTTCAAATTCAAACCCTGAGTGACCCAAGGCACCCCCCTCACTTTCTGGCCTTGGTCTCAGCATCTGGAAAAGTGAGGCACCACCCACCACAGAAGCTGCTGGGAAGATGAGACAGGCTAGGCTATCAGCATCCACAGCTTGGGTTGTTTAAAATTTGCATCTGGTGGGGGTATTAAAAAATAAAATAAAATAGGCCAGGCACGGTGGCTCACGCCTATAATCCCAGCACTTTGGGAGGCCAAGGTGGGAGGATCATTTGAGGTCAGGAGTTCAAGACCAGCCTGACCAACAAGGTGAAACTCCGTCTCTATTAAAAATACAAAAAAATTAGCCAGGCATGGTGGCATGTACCTGTAGTACCAGCTACTTGGGAGGCTGAGGCAGGAGAATTGCTTGAACCCAGGAGGTTGCAGTGAGCTAAGATTGCACCACTGCACTCCAGCCTGGGCAACAGAGTGAGACTCCATCGTGAAAAAAATAATAATAATTAAAAAAATAAATAAAATTTGCATTTTATATGTTCCTTGACCTACCTATTGAGGAATATTGGAATGATGGACACTTTTTAGCAGTAGATGGGCTTAGATTCAAGTCTGGGTGCTGACGTAAACTTGCTATTTTGTGTGAGACTCCTGGCCTGTCCGAGCCTCAGTTTCCTCATCTGTAAAAGGGGGGGTGACAACAGGCATCAAGAACCCAGCACATGGTAGGTTCAGACATTAGTCCCCTACTTTTTTTTTTTTTTTTTTTTTTTTTTTTTTGAGACGGAGTCTCACGCTGTTGCCCAGGCTGGAGTGCAGTGGCGCGATCTCGGCTCACTGCAAGCTCCGCCTCCTGGGTTCACGCCATTCTCCTGCCTCAGCCTCCTGAGTAGCTAGGACTACAGGCGCCCGCCACCGCGCCCGGCTAATTTTTTGTATTTTTAGTAGAGACGGGGTTTCACTGTGGTCTCGATCTCCTGACCTTGTGATCCGCCCGCCTTGGCCTCCCAAAGTGCTGGGATTACAGGCTTGAGCCACCGCGCCCGGCCTTAGTCCCCTACTTTTTATCTGACTCAATATAACCAGAGGGTCCAGCCTTGATTTTTATCCACAATTTAGCCACAGAAACCTGAATGTCAGGCTCCCCTTCCCTTCTTGGTGCCACAGCCTTGCCAGGCCACACCGATGGAAGAACAAAGGCAGTCTCTGGTCTGAAGGTCCAAGACCCACAGCAGGGAGTTCCTGCCCCCTGGTGGCCAGAGAAAGAACAGGCAGCCTAGTGTGGACCCCAGTGGCAGCCTGGTAGCCTCTGGCCTGGGGCTAGGCTTAATTTGGGGAAGTCACTAGAGCTGGGTCAACCTCTGCTCACTGCCCTATCCTGATGGCTGGGCCAAGAGCAAGTCTCTGTCACCCTAAGTTGATAAGGTGCTTCTCAAGCCCCCAGCTAACACCTCCCGAGAAAAGCACAGCATGGCTGCTCAGACCACCAGCTGGTACTCAGTTCCTTGAAGAAAGGACTCAGTTCAAGTCTGAAAGTTGTTCGGGGTGGGGGTAGCATATACACATTTCTATCTCAGGAATAACAGCAGAAGTGTGAACGACTCACCCAGCAGCACCTAGGAGATGTCAATGCAAAGTCAATCACACCAGCAATCACACACCAAGAACATAGCAAGCACAGGGCAAACATGCTCCAAATACACAGGAGAGAGCTTATCCTGGGGCAAGGGAGGAAGTCCCCCGCCCCCTGCTCCATCCCTAAGGCCTGTATGCTTGTACTCACTCAGGTTCTCTTACCCAGCAGCAGGCATCCCCACGGGGGCGCTGGGGTGAGCGAGGATGACCTCCAGGCAGCAGCTCCTATGACCTGTGTGGGCTGAGCCCCTCTCACCTCCCTGAAGCTCTGTCCTCCCCTCCCACAGGCTGTTCTTCCCAAGGGCTCCTTAACCCCAGGGCAGGAATGGCCCAGCCACCAGGAGGCCACACAACACACCCTCTCTTCTCATCCCCAAACCCATCACCTCCCACCCCCACCACATCCTGAGAGATCCAGAGACCAGCCTTGTCACACGGCCCTGTCACACAGCCGTCAGGGCCGGGCAAGGCCAGGGCTCAGGAGTAGCTCAGTCATTCACCAGCAGCTCCACTCCAGGGGCTTCTCAGTAAATGGTCAGTAATGTGTTAGCTATCTCCACACTGGGTCCCCCAGCAACCTCTCCCCCAACACCCAACACATATACTTACTTCCTGATTTTCAGGCCCTCTTCATTGTCGGGGAGAAAAAATTCAAAAGATTTGTAGGTCTTGACCATGTTCCGGCGATACTGGCCAACATTGAACTCTGGCGGAAAGGAGAGGCTCAGCTTTCACAGCAACAGCAACCCCTACCAACCCTGACCTTGATCCACCCCCAGGCCAAAGAATAGAGGATAGGCCTTCTCTCTTCTCTTCGCCATGCCCCACAAAGCTTCCCTCGGATAGCTGGGGCCAAGCCTCACCCCGAGTAGGCACACCAATCCAGTTCAGGTATCGAGTGAGCTTCTTGGAGATGTAGGTCTTGCCCCTGGCGGGCAGGCCCACCATGACAATGAGCGTTGGGCAGTTGGTCATGCACACTAAAAGGCAAGCAGCACAGTGTCAGATGAGGGCCGGGACCCTCCCAGCAAACCCCTCCCTCTCGGCCTGTGTTCTCTCAGCCTCAGGGCATGGGAATGGCACCAGATGTATCTTCTTGGCTTCCTAGCATCACACAGTTCCTGGAGTGGCCCCAGATGCCGGTTTCAAGCCACCATTGGCATGTCCCCCTTCCCCAGGCCCGCCTGGGCTCTGGCACACACAGTGGGATCTCTCCAGCCCTTTTCATCCTGATGTGCACCACTAGGTATAAAGTCAACCGACCTTGCCACTGGCTAAACACAGCTAGGAGGGTCCCCACATCATGAAGGACAGGACCAAAACCCAGCAGGGTAATCAACATCCTGCCTCTGTCATCCAGAAATCCATACCCTAACATTTTTACATCTCTCCCACCCCAGCCATCACTCAGTGCTCCCAGAACACACAGCCCCACTGCGTGCCCTCCCCGTGGTGAACTTCTTTTCATCACACAAAGCCCACCTCAAAAGTCACTTCCTCAACGAGTCCTTTCCCCAAGGCATCTCCATGGTCACCAGGAACACCCTCACCCTCAATCCTGGTCACCTCACTAATGACACTCTTCTCTCTAGACTGATCACTTACAGCAGAAGAAGCCCTGTGGTATCTGAGCCCTTCAGGGTCCTGGGGCCTGGCACAGCGCTGGTGCTCGGGAACTGTGGGCAGGATCAGGGAGGGAGGCATCTAGAAGTCTCTCAGGGTAAGGACAAGGGGTTGAGACCAGAGACCCAGACAGATGCCCACAAGAACAGTCCCTCTGATAGCCCACCCACCACCATCCATGTGCCACAGGTCAGTGTGCCAGCCAGAGAAGATGCCAGGCTAAAGGAATGAAGGGTCTGAATGCAGCCCCTATATCCCCAGCTAGCTAGAACAGATGCCAAGGCAGCAGAACTGCCAGCTCCATCTCGTGGCACCCAGCTCAGTTTTCTTTTTTTTTTGGGACGGAGTCTCGCTCTGTCTCCCAGGCTGGAGGGCAGTGGTGCGATCTTGGCTCACTGCAACCTCCACCTCCCAGGTTCAAGAGATTCTCCTGCCTCAGCCTCCCAAGTGGCTGGGATTACAGGCACCCACCACCACGCCTGGCTAATTTTTGCATTTTTAGTAGAGACAGGGTTTTACCATGTTGGTCAGGCTGATCTCAAACTCCTGACCTCAGGTGATCCACCCACCTGGGCCTCCCAAAGTGCTGGGATTACAGGTGTGAGCCATCACCCCCGGCCTTCTTTTTTTTTTTGAGACAGAGTCTCGCTCTGTCGCCCTTGCCCAGGCTGGAGTGCTGGAGTGCAGTGGCGCCCAGCTCACTGCAACCTCTGCCTCCCAGGTTCAAGCGATTCTTGTGCCTCAGCCTCTAAAGTAGCTGGGATTACAGGTGCACACCTGGCTAATTTTTGTATTTTCAGTAGACACAGGATTTCATTATGTTGGTCAGACTGGTCTTGAATTCCTGACCTCAGGTGATCTGCCCGCCTTGTCCTCCCAAAGTGCTAGGATTACAGGCATGAGCCCAGCCCCCAGCTCAGTTTCCAGTGCCATCAAATGCGGTCTCACGTCAGAAGCCTCAGGAAGCTTCCTTTTCCTCATCCTTAGGACCTGGGTCAGGTAAAACCATAGCAGACAGGCAGATGGACAGATGTGGGGACCTGTCACTGCCCCTCTTCTGCCCACTTGGTTCTGCAAGTGCCTTCACCTGGTTGCCTAGACAGACTGTCCCCACCAACAAGTTGTCTCCCTCAGAGCACAGAGGCCCCAGGAGCACTTCCGCGGGGTTTCAGGAGTCAGGCCTGGGTTGCCATCTCGAGTCTGACACTCATTGGGAACTCTGAGCCTCGGCGTCCCCAGCTGTAAAACGGGGCAATCATCCCTCAGAGAAGCCTAGTGCTATCTCCATGGAAGAGCCTGGGCACTTCTGGGAAGCTGTGCCCTCTGTCCTATCCTGGCAGATACTGAGCTAAAGCCATAGGTATACCTCAGCACCGACTGCCCTTGGGACTCAGGGCGTGGAGGCGGTGGCCTGGCCCCAGGCAGGCCCTGCAGAGAAACAAAGGGCCTTGCTGGCCAGTGGGGCTCCATCACTCCTGTGCATGCCCCTTGTTTAAAGGTGACCCAAACAGTGAGCCTCAGGGGCAGGAAGGAGGAGACCCCATGAAACAGGCTGACTGAGTGAGAGTGAAGAAACTTGCAGAGAAATATCAGCATTGGCTAAGGTGAGAGGAAAACAAGTCAGGCAAGGCCTTGCCTCCTCAGGGCCGGTGGACAGCTGAGGTCTGCATTGTTTGCATAGCTCCTGGCCAGGTGGCCGGGCTCTCAAGCAACCGAGGGTAGTGTGACAGCTGCTAAGCAGGAGGAAATCCTGCATCCACCCTGCTCCCGCTGACGGGGCCACCTCCCGACCGCTCCTTCAGGGGCTCCCACAACCTCAGGACTGGGGATCTGCACCCCCTCTCCACATCTCCTATTTTCCCAGAGACAGCTCCAGCCTCCTCCCTTGGCATTTGGTGACATTTCCCTTCCCCCCTCCCACCCACATGCGCAGCACAAGGTGCACAGGCAGGGCAGCAAATCAGGCCTGGGTGCAAAACAAGGCAATAAATTACCTATCTCCTCTGCTCCCCAAGATAAGATCCCAAGGAAATGACCCAAAAGAAAACCAAAGTTCAAGTGTATCACAACAGCTCCGCTTACCATAGCAAAACACTGGGGAATTCCAGCCATGAGAAATTGCCAACTGAGGCACAACAAGGAGGGAACACATTGCATCCCTTGAAACAGAGCGCGTGAACTAAGCAGGCTGGGTGTGCAGCTGCACCTGCGGCTGTGAGCCCACAGGACCGTGACACTGAGCAAACAGGACAGCAGAACACACTGTTTATAGCTGGGCGTGATGGCCCATGCCTGTAATCCCAGCACTTTGGGAGGCTGAGGCAGGCGGATCACCTGAGGTCAGGAGTTCGAGACCAGCCTGGCCAATATGGCAAAACCCTGTCTCTACTAAAAATACAAAAATTAGCCGGGTGTGGTGGTACACGCCAGTAATCCCAGCTACTCAGGAGGCTGAGACAAGAGAATTGCTTTAACACAGGAGGCAGAGGTTACAGTGAGCCAAAATAGTGCCACTGCACTCCAGCCTGGGGGTACAAAGTGAGACTGTCTCCAAACAAAAAGAACACACTGTTTATAACATTGAGCATGTGCGGAAGGAAATGTGAAGACATGTCAGCCCAACTTCCCTCACGGGTTCCTTTCCTGTAAATTTGCTGCAGGCCCCATGAGCTCTAGGAGCCAAGCGGCCTGAGACATGCCTGGCAAGGGGCAGTGTTTATGTTCCGGCACTTCCACCCAAGGAGCAGCCACAAGTCCCTGGAGGGGGTGCCAGAATTGACTCCTGAACTGCAGCTGCTCTCACCTCCTTAGGCCAGGCTGGGGAAGGAAGAGCTCTTTAAAATAAAGCAATGTGCCATGGAGGCCCTGTTCAGAGGGGACAGAAAGTCATCTCTCCTGTTGCCCTGTGCACACACCAGTCATGTCCTTACCCAGGAATAGTCTTGCCACCTTTCAGCTGAGAAAAGCCATCAAACACCGTCCTTTCTGCAGTCCTTCCTGAGTTGGCTCTTGACCCACCTGCCCCCAGAGTTTCTCCAGGTCTGAGCTCAGAGGCCAATGATGGGAAAGGTAAAAGCCTCCCAGCCCTCAGGTGTGGCTTTAGGTTTTATCAAGTGGGGGTGTGTCTGTGGGAGTGGAGGAGGTGCAGTACATCCCTCAGTCCACTAGCCCCTAGTGCCCTGAGGAGCTGGGGACTAGACTCCAGAGAAAACCCAGTACAAAGCACAGACCAGCAGTGGGTCCTAGTTCCTCCTCCCCACAAAGCCCTGGGACCAAATCCGCTTCCAGCCCCACCCACGCCCTCTGGGTTCGGACTGTCCTTGCAGTCACTCAACATACAAGTCTACCATGCAAAGGGTAAAATGTTGCCCAAATGCAGGCACTGGGAGCTGGAGGTGCTGCATGGGCAGGTTTCATTCATTCACTACCCACTCCCTGCTGTGAACCCTGGGACCTTGGCTGAGGCCCAAGTCCCCACACAACCTGCAGGTCTCATCTTTGGCCTCTCGGGTGCTACTTCCTCCTCCAGGAAAAAGTGTGGACCTAGAACCCAGTCTACCCCAACACCCTGAGACACTGTGATGGCATGAGCTCCTCAGCTCAGGCCAGAGCCACATTTCAGTCCCCCACTTAGAGCTTGGAGAAACAGAGGCCCTGCCTCAGGAGCTATGAGACCTACCCATTGGCCCTCAGCTTCCTCTCACCTGTAAAGGGGGTTGGCTTGGAGCTGATGCATCAATCCCTGACTCAGACGTAGTGAGAAGCAAACAAAGAATGGTAGTGATGACAGAATACTCTGCCTCCACTTATTGAGGACCTACTCCTTAAAGGCTCACAGACTTGGCTGGGCACGGCAGCTTGTGCCTGTAATCCCAACACTTTGGGAGGCCGAGGGGGGGCAGATCATTAGAGGTAAGGAATTCAAGACCAGCCTGGCCAACATGGTGAAACTCCATCTCTACTAAAAATACAAAATTAGCCGGGCGTGGTGGTGCATGCCTGTAATCCCAGCAACTTGGAGGCTGAGGCAGGAGAATTGCTTGAACCCAGGAGGCAGAGGTTGCCAGTGAGCTGAGACAGGACCACTGCACTACAACCTGGGCAACAAGAGTGAAACTCCATCTCAAAAAAAAAAAAAAAGGCCAGGTCCTCACTCCTTTCCTCTGTGTAGTAATAGCAGCCACCCCTCTAAGTCAGGACCACATAACACTAATAACACAGACTGGCTCTGCCTCCATGCCTCCAGAAGAGTCTCAAAGGAGGGCTGGCCATAGCCGTCAGGACTGAATGTGCATTGTAGACAGCCACAGACCCCAGGACCTACATCACAATCAGAGCCATGAGTTACCACGACTTGGTCTGGTCAGAAACATGGCCTTCCCCTACCAGGACTCACAGTGGGGCCAGAAATACACACACCCTTCCTCCAGGATTCATATCATGATCAAAGCCGTGGCCCCAGGCTGCTGCAGCAGGATGAGCACAAAGAACTCTCCCCTTGCTTATCATACATAAGCAGAGGCAGGATCACAGGGAGACCCAGGCATGTCACACAATCTCCTGATCTCCATTTCACTGTGAGTTAAACTAGATGTTCTCTGAGGTCCTGGACAAGTTGCAAATTCATTACAATGTTTCAGTTACTCCTAAAACAAATCTTTCTTTTTCCTGGTAATAAAAAAGTTGCAGGCCAGGACCCATGCCTGTAATCCCAACACTTTGCAAGGCAGAGGCCAAAGGATCCACTTGAAGCTATGAGTTGGAGACCAGCCCAGACAATATAGCAAGACCCTGTTTCTACAAAAAAAAAAAAAAGTTGGGTGTGGTGGTGCACCTGTAGTCCCAGCTAATCGGGAGGTTGAGGTGGGAGGACTGCTTGAGCCCAGTAGGTTGTGACTGCAGTGAACTATGATCGAGCCACTGCACTTGCTCCAGCTTGGGCCACTGAGCGAAAAAAAAAAAAAAAAAACTGCCAGCTCATTTAAGGACAGGCAGAAACTCAAGGAAGCGGTTTAAACACCTGGGACCCTAGGAGAGGTGAGCCCCTGAACAATTCCATGAATTTCAGCATTCTCCTAGCTGTTTCACCCTCCAGTTTTACTGTACACCCATGACCCCAGGTGGATACTTACATGTCCAGGGACACAGACACAGGCCCACATGGCATACTTTTCTGTCTCTATCCTGAGCACATCTGCGCTGAAGTTCCTACCCAAGCTCAGCTTTAAGGCCAAGAGGCACCCTTCCTCCTGTTGGAAAACTAGCCCACCTTTGAAAGTTCTGGGCTCAGAGAGGTCAAGTAATTCACCTAGGGCCACACAGCTCAGTTCCAGTCCAACAATCCGGCCCACGCTCCTTCGCCAGGAGAGAGGGAAGGGCCTGGGGTGCCCACAGGGTCCTCCCCAGGCTGGGGGCGATGGGGATTGGGGCGGGAAGCGAGGGGGCCAGCGCCCTCCCCGAGGTGATGGTAGCCAGACCTAGTCACCGCCAAGCCGATATGCCCCCACATACCTGTCCCCGACCCCTGCTCTGCCACACCTGTCTCTGGCCCACCACTGTCACGACCGCCTCACCTGTCCCCAGCAGCCTCCCCAGGTCACGGCGGCCTCACCTGTCCCCGGTTCCCCACCTGTCTACAGCCCCTTCTCCATGCGAGACCCCCGCCCAGGCCGCGCTACCCACCCATCCCGGTGCACCTCCCATCCCCTCCCGGAGGACCCCGCCTCACCACCGCGCTGGCAAGCGTGCAGAGCGGGCCGCCCATTGCTGTATGGCATCCAGATCTTCTTCAGGGGGTTCTGGGTCAATTCCCGTGGGGACGCCATCCCGGGGCCGGGATGAGTCGGATTACGCCGCTTCCAACCCAGCAGCCGGGCCACTTCGGGCCACCCGAGGTCCCGCCCCTTGGGCCACGCCCCTCCCCAAGCCGCGACAGCCCATGTCTATCTTCCCGCAGGCCCCGCCCCAGAGTGAGTAGGCTCCGCCCCAGCTGAGAGGGCCCGGCCTCCGACCACGCATGCCCAACTCACGTACCCGCCCGTTTTGGAACAAGCGGGCCCAGTTCTTCAGGCCAGGATCGAGAATGCGCATGCTCAACTCCGGATCGTGCTGGCCCCGCCCCAGTTCAAGACCCGGATTATGTAGGCCCGCCCCGGATGCGCAAACTCAGCGCTCCCAATCTGCCCGCGCTGATTTGCATAGGCCCCACCTACGGGCCCCGCCCCGGCGCTGCATACCTGAGCAGCGGCACGCGTGAATTCTGCTCCCTCCTTGCCGGGGAGCCCGGGGCCCCCAGGAGGGAGGGGTTTTCATGCAGTGGGACGAGGCCTACGTGACCCGCATGGCCAGGTTGGTCAGAGCCGACAGGGGCCACTAGGCCTGTTGTGCCAGCCGTCAGCTCCGCTTCGCCCTCCTGCCCCTGCTCGGGGTCCCCCTTGACTGCTCCGAGCCCCGGGACTCTCCACCGTCCATAGGAGTGCGCTCAACCACGCTGGAAAAGCTCCTTTATATCATGGATAGAGACGCAAAACACATTTCAATATTGTTCCTCTTTCTCTTTGCTTTGGCTGCTGGGAGTAAATGCGTGGGACCTTTTTTTTTTTTTTTTTGAGACGGAGTTTCGCTCCCGTTGCCCAGGCTGGAGTGCAATGGCGCTATCTCGGCTCACTGCAAACTCCGCCTCCCGGGTTCAAGGGATTCTCCTGCCTCAGCTTCCCAAGTAGCTGGGGTTACAAGCGCCTACCACCACGCCCTGCTAATTTTTGTATTTTTAGTTTCACCACTTTGGCCAGGCTGGTCTTGAACTCCTGACCTCTGGTGATCCGCCCTCCTCAGCTTCCCAAAGTACTGGGATTACAGGCGTGAGCCACCGCGCCCGGCCGTGCGTGGGACTTAGTAACCAAGTACTTTGGGTACTCACTAAGCCCGGCAGTATCTTGTCTTTCCAGAATTTCAGTTTTTCCAATTAACTTTTTTTTTTTTTTTTTTGAGACGGAGTCTCGCTCTGTCGCCCAGACTGGAGTGCAGTGGCGCGATCTCGGCTCACTGCAAGCTCCGCCTCCCGGGTTCACGCCATTCTCCTGCCTCAGCCTCCGGAGTAGCTGGGACTACAGGCGCCCGCCACCACACCCGGCTAATTTCTTTTTGTATTTTTAGTAGAGACGGGGTTTCACCGTGTTAGCCAGGATGGTCTCGATCTCCTGACCTTGTGATCCGCCCGCCTCGGCCTCCCAAAGTGCTGAGATTACAGGCTTGAGCCACCGCGCCCGGCCCCAATTAACTTTTCTTTGTTTGTTTTTTAGTATTTTGGGTTTTTTTCCAACTAAATTTTTACATATTTTTTGAAAATAGTATGTTAATAACATTTTCTCTTCATCAGGAAAATGGGATGTGCACATCGTCAATCTTGCAGTATTATAGTATGAATTAAATATGTCAATCTCTAAGAAATTCATTTTAAACTACGTTAAGGTTGCCTTTTACTATATTTGTATCTCCCTCTTGTCTTTGAAAATGCACTGGGGACAAGGAACAGGGGAGAGATCCAGAAGTTCGTAAACCGCTGGCTCACTCTCTTGTTTGGCCCCCATCGGACTCTTTCAGGCTCCCGCCTCCTCAGGATCCCCAGCCCCGCCTCTCCAAGCTTTGTACACTCTCCGCCCCAGCCCCCACCAACACGGCTTCGACCTGAGCCACACTGCCCTCTAGCGACGTCATCCACAACACCCCTGTCCGGTGCCCTGCATCCTCAAGTTCTCTCTGCCCAGTGTGTAGCCAGCCAGGAGCCAGGTGTTGAGGGCATGGGACTGGCAACAAGACTGGCCTCGTGGGCTATAGGTGTAGCACCCCTTCCCATGCCATCCCTGCCAGAGCCCTGCCTTGGATCAGTCCAAGTCCACCCAGCTCTTCAAAGCTTGGCAAGGACCCTTAAGATGACTGACACAGATGTCTTGCCCACTTCATAGGAAATGAAGATTCCGAAGGTCCACATTCTGGAAGCCCATCTGGACCCTCCCCCAAACCAGCTCTAGCTGCTTGCCCTGGGAACACCCTGCCCCAGGCAGGGTCAACGACTTCTTCCTTCCTCATCCTCCTTTTGCAGTATCCACCCACTCATTCCTCCACCCCAGTCCCAGCAGATCTGAGCACATCCATGGGCGGCTCCTGATGAACTGGGTGCCCCTTGTGTCCTGCTCCCTACTTCTCCAAAGCCACTCATTCTGTTTGTGACACAGTCAACCCTCTTTTCTTCTGGCCACTGCCAAGGCCATCGTGGTGCCACTGTGGCCTCTGAGACCTCATTACCACACACCCACACCCTGTCTAACCCACAGGACTCATTGCAAAACCTATCTCCTCTGACATCTACAGACACCCAGCACCTCCTCCGGCCTGTCTATTCTTCTCTTCCCAGACCTCCTGGCACACTAATCAAGGGCTGGGGGTAGAGGACAGCCGGCCTGGGCAGGGGGCCACGGCTATCTCTGGGAAGGCATCCTCACACCCAGACAGGATGAGCCTGGTTCCCAGGAAATGCAGCAGCTCTGCACCTCCCTCTCTTCCCCAGAAAGTCTACCCGTGGCTGACCCAGGCACCCTCCTTCAAGCCCCTATGTCCAGCTGGAAGGTCACAGTTCAACATCAGGAGATGCCTGGGGTTCCTCCCCAAGGCCACAGTCCACATCTGCTCTGAGGATATTCTCCATCTCCCCTCCCATGGCCCTGTTTGTCAGGTGGGAACCTGAGGGTCGGGAAGAGGGAGAAGGGCCCAAGATCACAGAGTGAGTCCGCAGTGCAGCATGGACTCAGTTCAACTCCCAGCCTTCCGGACCTTGCCTCCCACACTCCACTGGAATTGCACAGTCCACCTCCACACGTGTGCTCCCACTCCCCCGTGTCCTCTCCATGGAGATGCTGTCCCGGCGTCTGCTCTCTCAGCATCAGCAGATGCCTGGTAGAATCCCTGGCCCTCATGGCTTTTTCCTCCTCAGCATATCCCAAAGCGAGCCAGCTGTCCTGTCCCAGGTGTGAGAAGTACGCTGGGATGTTTGTACACACATGTGTGAACATGTTCTGCTCAGCCTCTGCCCACCATGAACCTGGCTGGCCTGACCCTGGTTGGCTCCCAGGGTGCCCTCTGCACTGACAATGGACTTCCTCCCAGTGTCCCAGCCTAGAAGCCATGTGGTGGCCAGTCCTCAAAGTTCACTCTTCCCAGTCCCTGTATCTACTGGCCAGTCATGACAGACCTGCCAAACCATCCCACCACACACACACGCAGATACACACACACACGCAGATACACACACACACACACACAATTTTCTTTTTTTTTGAGACAGAGTCTCGCACTCGTCACCCAGCCTGGAGCACAGTGGTGCAATCATGGCTCCCTGCAGCCTTGAACTCCTGGCCTCAAGCGATCCTCCCATCTCGACCTCCCAAAGCCCTGGGTTTATAGCCGTGAGCTACCACATCTGGCCCACAAACCACCCTTTGCAGCATAAAGACCCAGGGGTGTCAGTGCGTGCCACACAGGCCCTCACACTGATGCACAGAGACACTGGCACAGCTGCACATGCACACACAGATGCACACACACTCACAAGCCCTGTACCCAGGCATGTGCAGAGACAGGCAGGCTGCAGTGGGGCCTGCTGCTCTCTGCTGCCTCCCTTCCCATATATATCTCTCCACCCCCACCCCTGCTGTCCACTGGGAGGTTCAGGAGTTTCCAGGAATTCCAGCTTCCTCTGGCCATTTCCAGCAAAGGATTGTCCCCTGTGTTTCCCTGGGCCCAGGGCTCACAGGGAGTGTGAGGTTTTGACTTCGGGGTATAGAGCCTGTCACCAAGCAGCCTGGGAACCCTGATCTGCACTTCCTTCTTCCAGCCTGCCACAGGGCGTACAGTAGGTGCTTAGGGATTCAGGACCAGCAAGGGCACACAGAAAGAGTTCAGAGAGGTTCATGACCAAACTGTGTACATAGCAGGTGTTCAGAGAAGCTCAGGACTGGCACAGGGCACACAGCAGACACCCTAGAAGTGCTGGTTTAAGGGCTAAAGCCATATCATGTGAAACCCTTCCTAAATGAGCCTCTAGACCTCCCCAAACTGGTGTGACCCCTAAGAGGAGACCTGGACAAACATGATCCCTTGGAGGCCAGCAAAGAGCAGAGCAGGAGGGCCTAGGCAGCTCCAGCTGGCAGTCCCTCCCCCTGGGCTCGAGGAAGACACTATTTATAGTTCCCCATTGGCCCAGCCCCCTCTCCTTTGCAAGGCGACAATCTTCCCCCTCCTTCAGGCCACTGACGGATGAATGCCCCTCAGAGCACCCCTAAACCAGGAGAGACCCCCCAGCATTCTCGCACCCCTCCAGCACAACTCTGACTTCATCCAGGTCTTTCCCTAACCCCCCACCCTCCCCACGCTGTCCCGTGCCTACCCCGCCTGCTGCTCCCTGGCCCCAGGTCCGTCAGGGAGCTGCCTTCTAACGAGCATCTGTCCATCCTGCAACCAAACTGGCCAGGGTCACTGCCCCCTGCAGCTCCAGAGTGGGGTCACCCCGCCCAGCACTCTGAAGAGTGTGGTTCCTGCAGCCCCGCCTCCCCAGCCCGCCCTAGGCCCGCCCCTACAGGGCTGCTTACAACTGCGAGGGCAGCGCCAGTGCCCCCACTCCAGTCAGCCGGCCACGCTCGGTTAATATGGCCTCCCTCTCCCGCCAGAGCTGCCCATGCCACCCAGCGTCTGCCTTCATGTCCACCTAGAGTTGTCTGCACGGCCCAGAGTGCCTGTCCCCTCTGCAGGCAAGCCTATCCACGATGCCCAGAAAGTCAGTTCCGTCTCTGGCCCAACAATGGAGTTGGGCTGTGAAATCAGGCAAAATTTAATCCTTCCAAGCCAAGGGACCAGGTCAGTTAAGGGGGGAGCTAGGGAGGAAGGCAGAGAAGCCAGGTGTGACTCACCACTCATGTGTCACAGCCTGGGTGCACATGACTGGGATTCTTGCACATCCCATCCTTCAATTGCTTTGCATTTATAGAGCACCTCCTGCTGCAGGACTTCCATGTCTGCTACACACACAATGCTCACAGGCTTGCTGGTGTCGCTCTGCTTTACAGATAAGGAAATCAAGGCTTGGAAAGGTGAACACCTTTGCCCAGGGCAATCTGTGCATGAAGTGGGGCAGAGTTTGGTCAGAGCTCCAGCAGCCTGAGCCCTGTCTCCTGTGAGCCATGCGTGTCCCTGGGTTGAGGCTGGGGATGCAGGGGTACATGGGGAGGACAGTGCCTGGCTAGGAGTTGTGCTTGCTTCATGCAGGTTTGGGGGACAAGCACCCACTCCTCTCAGACCCCTCACGTACCTTTACCCTGCTCACACACACTCATAGCTGTCAGAGGACCAGCCACACACGCACACATGCGTGCCATGGTCATAGGCTTCCTGTGTTCAGGCTTTGTGCCTGGAGATACCCCTCACAGCCCCGTCCATCTGGGGCAGGTGCTGCCTCATGGGGCACAGAGCAAGCAAGTGACCCTCAGCCAGCATCTCCCTGTGTGGTGGCCTGTGGCAGGACAGACCTATGGGCCTCAGAGGGTTGTCTCAGAGGCAGTGTTGAGCTCTCGTGTTGAGGCTCCTGAAAGTAACATGATGATGACTGCATGTGGCAGTGTCCAGGTGCTCTGTGACTATGGGGCACCCAGACACAGCAAGACTCGCCACAGCAGTGACCTTACGTGGTAGCATCCAAGCTGTTCAGACATATATTAGGTCTGTGGGGCACACAGGCATGGCAAGACTCCATGTGGCAGTGACCCAGCTTAGCAATGTCCAATATCCAAGCTGTCCAGACACACTGTGACTCTGTGGGGCACTCAGATGTGAAATGACCTGCATGACAGTGGCTTCATGTGGCAGTGTCCAGACACTCTATGCCCAGATGTGGCAGCATCTGTCCAGCTGTGTGGCTAACCTCCAGGTCTTCCCATCCAGGGCAGCCCTATCACTGTGACCCTCTCCCTCAGGCTCAGCGGCGGCCGACACGGGCCAGGATGCGGGCGTTGGTGGTGGCCTGCTCCCTGGCAGCCCTGGCCCGGGCTTGCTCCAGTAAGATCTGCAAGAGGCCGATGGAGACATCCAGCGATAGGACAATGCGCGAGCCAGAGTGGCGGGTGGGGCTGCGGTGGCTCTGGGCAGCCCAGGGCCATGTGGGAGCAGCTGAGGGGCTCTCTGAGGCTGCAGGTGCAGGTCCGGGAGTGGTCTGGGGAGCATTCTGAGGGCGGAGCTGGAAGGTTGGGATAGGGGTCACTGGGACAACCAGGACTCTGCCAAACATCAGGACCATCAGCACCAGCAGAGCATACCTGGTCATCGTGAGGTCAGGCTGCAAGGAGAAAATGGGCTCAGGGCAGGGGCCCTGGTCAACAGGGGTCCATGGACAGAGACAGATGGCAAGGGCAGAGTGACAGAGAGGGGGATGGAGAGAGAGGAAGACACCGAGAAAGGGGTTAGAGAGTCCAGGCCGGAGACAGAGAAGGGGAAACAAGAGGAAAGGCAGAAAGCAAGACAGAAAAAAAGAGACAAAGAAATTCAGAGACAGAGAGACAGCAAGAGGGGGAGATGAAGGAGATGGAGGCAGAGCAAAATGGAGACTGGAAGAAAAAGACAGAGACAGAAACCATCCCAGAGACAGGGAGCACGATGGAAAGAAAGATTCAGACAGAGAGAAACACAGAGTCCACAGGAGGGCAGGCAGTTCTCAGCAGGAGAGCTTGCAGCTGATCCAGGAAAGAGAAGGGCAGGAATGGGGTCTCAGAGGCAGAAAAGCAGCTAGAGATCCCAGAGCCCTCTGGGTCCAAGCCCTCCATAAAGCCAAACCCCAGATCCACTCAACCCCCAAGATCCTTCCCATCCCTACCCAACCCAGTCCTACCGCCACCAGCTTCTTCTGGGGTAAGTCAGGCTGCCGTGGCTGCCTGGGGCTGGGGCCAGGCAATGCTGTCCTGTGGTCTGACCCTCTACCCCGCTTCAGGGCCCATTTATCTCCCTCAGCCCCCTGGGGTGGGAGCTGGGACATGCTTCCTGGCATGAGGCAGCCCCCCAGCTATGACTCATCCCTCCCAGGGGGCAGTGGAGACATGTCCTTAGCTCCCACCCTATCTACTCCTTTCTGGGGACAAGTTAGAGACTGCGAATCACAAGACAGCGACCAGGACTGGGCAGAGGGACTGTGTACCCATGCAGAATAATACCAACCCCCCCAGGGAAAACCTTCCCCCTTGACACCCCCATTTTCCCAAACAGTCACAACAGGAGCCTTTTAAAACAGCAGCTTTAATGCCCCCCAGAGTCAGCACCATGTCATCACAGGCTTGGGTCAAGGGGCGGGTCAGACGCCAGTCACATCCGCTCACTGCCCACAGCCACCCCCCACAGTGAGTCATCTGCCAGGGTGGCAGGAGCCACAATGGGGGTTTGTCCACAGGGGGGAAGGCCAGACCCACGGGACCAAGTCACTGAAATAACAGACATGCACACGCACGCTCACGTGCACACAAGCCTCTAGCACCAAGGGGAGGGACAGCGGGTTCTGCTGAGACCCTGACTCCTCTAGGGGATGCTGAATCTCAGCTCATCATCTGGGCCTCAGTCCTGGATAGCACCTGGTGAGGACAGGTTGGAAACGGTCATCAGCCATCTGACCTTACCCAGAGAAGCTCAGGCAGAGGCACCCATGGGGAGGGAGTTGAGGTTACAACAGGAAGTGGGGGCTCTGACCTCAGAAGGGTCCATACTTAGGTCTTTAAAGAAGGGAACATGGAAGGGGACCCTACTGGGGGCTCCACAGCTGGTGCTCAATATTCAGCTCTTTGGTCTGGGTGTCTGCCCCAGGTCCCCTAGTGTGAAGGAGCGTCTCCTCCAGGACCCTGACCTGGGACCCTGGCCCAAGGACTCCTCCCCCAGACCCTGATCCAGGCAGGTTCAGTGCCCAGTCCCCCCACTGTGGGGGCTCAGCTCATACCTATCCCCTGGCTCTGGGCCACTCGGGGTGGGCAGCGGCGCTCACAGGCCTCACGGGTCCCAAAACGGTTGGCATTCCCTCCACAGCCGCCATAGACAAAAGGGTGACAGGCCTCTGTGCTGCCTGGCACAGCCCGATGGTACCAGCGCAGGGTGTAGGCAGTACAGGAGCCCTCATCCAGCGGCAGGGAACAGGGGTCTGGGCCAATGGGGTCAAGTCAATAGGGGTTGTGGGAATCAGAGAGGGTTAAAAGGTCAGGGGAAGGTCAGCAAGGGTCAGCTCTGCCTGCCCCTCCCCAAGCCCCGTTGGGCGCAGCCCCCCCATTCTCACCATCGCTATCCCAAGGGGCTTCAGGGTCCTGGTACTCCTCCACGGAATACTCGGAGTATTCGGAGTACTCATCATCCTCAGGGGGCACCCGCTCTGCAGGTAGGGCAGGGTGTGCTGGGAACAGTGGCTGCTGGCCCCGGGGCAAGGTGGGCAGCACTGATCTCCATTGTGTGCACACAGTGCCCATGCGTGTGCCCTGCATGCAGACCCTATGTGCTTGGCATGTGCCCTGCATGCATGAACACCCATGTGCATGTCTGGGCCCCACCCATAGCTGCCCCACGGGTTCAGCTGTCCTCACCTTCCTCCTCTGCATGAGAGACGCGGAGCACAGGCAGAGCATGGAGCTGGGAGCCAGCAGTGTCTGCAGCATAACTAGGTAGGGGTCCTGGAGCCAAGAGCAGGGGCCTCAGGGCCCTGAGGTCACCATGGGCAGCCATCCCAGCCAACCCCGCTGAAAGGACCCAGGTGATAGGTAAGGCAGGGCCTTGGGTGAAGAAAGTTCTGCGAGTAGAAAACTACTCACGTGATCCGGATGCGATGAACTGGCCCTGGCAGGCTAGAGGGGGCAGAGAGGGATAGAGAGAAAATGACAGAGAGAAGGATGGGAAGATGGAGAGACAGACAGAGACACACACGCAGAGGGGTAGAGATACACAAAGAGACATCAGGAGAGGGTAACAGACAGGAGAGAGAGGAAGAGAGAGGGTGGGAGGTAGATAGAGAGATGGAAAAAGGGAAGAAGGCAGAGGAGAGGGAAGTTGGGAACAGGCCAACAAAAGGCAAGAGACAGAAGCAGGCCAGACACAGAAACACGCAGGCGGCGCAGACAGAGATGGGAAGACACAGCTTCACTCTGATGCCCCTCAGGGTCGTCATAGTCCCATCGGGTCCAGGTCAGGCCCAAGGGGACCAGCTCTGGCTCCCACCATCATCCTGCTCCCCATACAGCCAAGCTGGACATCCAAGAACACTGCATGGCAATCCTCATCTGCCTGTGTGTCGCCCTTCACTGGGGACACGTGTCATGTGTCAGTACTGAAGCACACGTGTCCTGTGTATCCATCCATCCCCCCATTTTCTTAACTGCTTGCCCTGTAAGTTCTAGGGGCCTGCCTGCCCTTGCCTAGGGTGCTGGCACGGAGTGGGAGACTGCAGGCTGGGCACCACTCACCGCAGTGCTGACTCATCTCCTGGCGCACAAAGCCCCGGATGTCATCCTCCTGGGAGCAGAAGGCCAAGGGAACCATGAAGAACCCATGGCTCACAGGAAGGACATAGGGCACATAATGCAGGGACCATAGAGAGACTGCATGGAGCCAGGGCCCAGGGGTCAGGGTGCTGGGTGAGGGAGGGAGGGCCCCAGCCTACCCAGGCCCACCCAGGCCCACCCAGGCCCATCCAGGCCCACCCAGGCCCATCCAGGCCCATCCAGGCCCATCCAGGCCCACACTCACCGTCAGTGCAGCTTCTCCCTTCTCGCCTCGGGGGCCAGCAGGCCCTGGCCGCCCCTATGTATAACAGATGGGACCAGGCTGTGACCTCTGATCTCAGGGACAACAGAGGTCACCCCGATCTCTGACCCAAGCCTGGGAATCCCAACTCACCTGCTCCCCTCTCTCGCCAGGGGCTCCAGGGGCCCCAGGAGCCCCCACCACTCTCTCTCCAGGGGGACCTCGCTCACCCTGTCAGACACAGGGACCAAATGAGCAGGGTCAGAGACAGCAGGGATCAGGAGTCAGGCAGGTTGGGGGTCACAGCTTCAAAGGTTGGGGCAGGCAGGCTGGAGGATGATTATGAGGTTGGAAGGGTAGGGAAGGGGTCAGGAGTCAGAGCTGGGGCCCCTTACCTTCTGGCCTTGAAGTCCTTCAGGGCCTCTGGGACCAACACCGCCAGGTGGCCCCGGGGAACCAGCAGAGCCATCACTACCCCTGGGGCCTGGGAAGCCCCCAATTCCTGGGGTTCCCTGGGGAGATATAAGACAGAGTCAGTAATTAGAGGCCCCAAAGATGGACCCTCTCCCAAAGGGCACGCTTCCCTCAATTCACCATGACCATGGCCTCAACTCACCCGTTCCCCTTTCTCGCCCTGGTCACCCTTGGGGCCTGGCTGCCCATCAAAGCCTCGGTCACCCTGGGAACAGAAGAAGCATGAGAGACCTTCTGCCCTGATCTCCCTCAGCTCTGGACCCTCCCTGAACTGCCATGCACTCCCTGGCCTAATGCCCAAACTTTCTGTAACCCGAGTACCTGTGAGCCAACCAGATGTGATCCCCATGACTCCAACTCCACTATAGCCCCCTGTCCTGATACACATGCCCCCTCTACCTCCCATGCTTTCATCCTAACTCCACTGTGACCCCAACCCACCTTGACACCTCAAGACTAGCCCCACTTCAGTCCCAACCCTCCACAGCCTTCCTTGTCCCTACACCCCCATGACCCGACTGTGAGCTTCCCTGCCCCATCCTGACTCCCTGTCATGTCCACTGTCCACAGACCCTGTACCTTGGGACCGATCAGGCCCTCCTTGCCAGGGGCCCCCGACTGGCCCGGCACACCAGGCTCCCCCTGGAGAAAAAAAGACATGAGCTTGGCCCCAGTCCGCCCATGGCCCCCTCATTCTGAGCGTGCCCACACTCACCATCTCTCCTTTGTGTCCTGCCAGCCCAGGGCGGCCTGGGGGACCAGCTTCTCCCTGCAGGCATCAGGCAGTGGGGTCAGCCTTAGGCCCCAGGCCCCATAGCCCCCCATCCCCCATCCCCTCTGCACCTTGTCTCCCTTCTCTCCATCAAGGCCACAGGCTCCCTTCACTCCCCGTTCACCCTGAGGGAGAAAAGCAGGTGAAGAAGTGATTCCCAGACGCCTCACTCTGTGATCCCCTTCGCCCTGAAACCAACTCTCCAAACAGGCCTCAGGTACTCCAACCTCTGACCCAGCACCCTAACATCTGACCCCAGGCCACTCGCCCTTCAACATTAGGCCTTTCTGACCAGAAAAAAATACAATCTTGTTTCTTTC